TATGACAACAATTATTGCTTCCGTTGAACAGAATGGTCATACATGTAAGTGCTGTCTGTGGGGTGCACACATTCCTACTACCGGTATGTGACAGTATATGACTATTACAATTTCAACTGCTGAACAGTGTCGAAAGTATTCTATGTATGCATGTCTCCATATGGTTCCGTCCCTAAATTATAATAGAAATACACTTCCACATAAACTGAGTTTGTGCATCTGTCATTATCCTTGTTCAAATCATGTTGTTATAAGATTTAAATACATCCTTGATGTAATTAATTCATTTACTTTCAGATACAAAAATCTGCAAAATATATATGGAACACCCCTTTGACATTTTCGACATATGATTGGATTTTCAATCCAAGTAGTGCTTTTGTTTTGTTTTACCCCATCCAAGAGAACACCAGTTTAAGTAGCCTCACTGCAGCCTCTTTTCAATAAAGCAAACACCTGTTTGGTTTGTGACTGTAATACAACAGCAACAATAACAATCAGGTGCCATAAGGTACTTGAAGTCTGTATGCTCTCAAGAACTCGGATCATGCACATGCTCGGGTAGGTCCCCTATAGTAGGCTGTAGCACATCTAAGAGCAAGACTAAAGTGGACATCAAACTCGGTTGGGCTGTTTTCACCGCTCTAGTTGAATGAAGAATCTAATAGGAAATATAATTGAATAAGAGAATGCATGAATTTTAAGACTGTGATAATTTTGTCTGCTTTCATGCTATGTGGTATAGCCACAGGAAACAAGCCATGAGAAGAACAAAAAAATAGAAATATCACTAAATGCTCAACAATTGTGGAAGAAGTTCGCTCTACAAGGGTTTTATATAAAAATGGCATATTTTTGGTGCAAAATTGTGGTTAACATAGTAACACCTTATCCAATATACACAACACATATGTATTGCATATCCTCAGCTCAAGAGCATCACGTTTCATACAAATTGCTCAAAAACTTAAAAGTAGCTTGCTCAACAAGGTTTTTATATCAAAATTGAGCAAAATTGAGGTTACCATGACAACGCTTTATCTAGCATACACAAAAAAATATGTCTCGCACATCCTTACTACAAAAGCATCAAGTGTACCAAGTTTCATCAAAATAACTCCAAAATTGAGGAAGAAGTTCAGTCCACAAGGTTTTGATATCATAATGGCATATTTTTTGGAGCAAAATAGTGGTTACCATGGCAACGCCTTATCCGGCATAAGTCTTACACAGCCTCACCTCATATAGTGCTTAGAGGGGGATCCCCAAAAAAGGACGGAGCCCCCAGGCTTCTGAGGGGGTCACCAGTGTTCAACGGTGCCCCTAGACTTCATTCATGCTCGGAAGGGGCTCCCAATGGTGAGACAGAGCCTCCGGACTTCAGAGATACTTAGAGGGGGCTTTAAATAAATGGGCTAAACACCCGGTCTTATGATATGCTGAGAGGTGGTTCTCTAACAGGGCGGTGCCCGTAGTCTCCATTCATGCTTGGAAGAAGCTCCCAAAGAGATGGACAAATGGGCAGAAAGAGTAAGATTGCCCCTGAATTAGTCAAGCCCCCCCCCCCCCATTCCATATCCCATTTATATAGAACCCAGAGGCGGATCCAGTCGGCGGGAGGGAAGGGGGCCAAAGAGGGAATCCAATTTCATGAGAGAATATTTAGCAGGGAAATAGCTAGCCGGTGAAGGGGAGGGGGGGAGGACGGGGGTAGTAAGCCCTTAACTTTTTTTTTTTTTTTTTTTTTTTTTTTTTGGGGGGGGGGGGGGGGCCGTCACTGGATCAGCCAAGCCCCCCCCCCACCCCCTTCCTTGGCTACACCAATCATAAAAAAAAACTCAAGGGGGGGGGGGGTTGGGGTTAAACCCCCCCCCCCTTGAGTTTTTTTTAAGTGTATATTTTTTGTGAAACCCCCCCCCCCCTTCCTATTTGCAATGACGACCTTCGTCATTGCCTTGTTTTCGTTCACATTCTGCCCCATTAATATTCTCCTTTTCCTCCTTTTCCTTTTCCTTATCGTCAGGAAATCGCATTCGTTTTGCACGTAATGTTTGTTATTCCTAGTTAGGTGCTTTTCTCATGTCCTTTTCCTTTCACATTTCATAGGCATAGTCTCTAACATCCCTTCAAGGTCACTACATTCTTCGATTTTCGAAATCACTCATGCATAACCGTCCAGGCGCCATTTTGTCCGTTTCTGGTCCATTTTAAGGCCTTTCTTTCTTTCTTCCTATCTCCACTATCCTAGATCCTACACATTTCTAACAAATTCCTCTAGATAGTCCAAGAGATGTTCTTTTATCTGCGACGTATAACCTGCCCTTCAAAATGCCATCTTCATACTCAAAATTCAAATCTGAAACCGACTCCGTCAACTATCTCTCAAATTCTTGAAAAATTGACACCTAAATAATCTAAAACTGCCATAACTTTCTCATATAAATTCCGTTTTGTATTTAAATCTCACAGTATCCTTATCTCATAATTGCACATAGCCATGCCAAATTTCACGCTCCAATGACTTTGCACAACATAAATAGCGCCCTCTAAAGTTCTGGGAATTGGCTTTCTCTCTGTGGCCGTATCTCCATAATGGCTTGGCAAACCCGTACCCTTTTTTGGATTTAGATACTTGAAGATATGCCCTTTCCAGCCATATACAAAATTATATACCCTATCACTGACCAAATTTGAGAAAATTGCCCTCCAAATTCGCCATTTTCAAGAAAATTCCAAAATAACTTCAACTTGCTCTAAAATTACGATCCTTTGACCTACGTCAATAAAACTTGGCACACACATGTATTTATATACGTGACAACTGTCCGCAAAGTTTGGTAAAATTTGATTATGTCAGCGCAAAGTTATCTCAAAAAATGATGTATTTACTATGCATTGCGTGATAGCGCGTTAAATGCGTGCAATACATTGCGCGAAGATAACAATGGTGTCAAACTGACCGCAATGAAGTGCCCTTTCGAATGATACCAAGTATAGTATATGTTCACACAGAAAATTGTGAATAAATCGCATTTGAACAAAGATCACTACACGAATTCCGCCGAGTTTCCGCCCGAATCTAACACGTATCGGCTATGACGTCATTTTTTCAGACTGCTTTTCGCCCCTTAAACGTCCTTTTTTTTCCTTGAAAATTTGCAGTGACATGCCGAGTTCCAATACGCAGGGCACCTCATGGCCGGATTTTTAAAATTGGTCAATGTGGCTATTTAAGACGCCATTTTGTCCTTTAAATCTATTTTACATCACATGTTTCGATAGGATTATCATAGAAAAAAAAAGAGTAGTTTACAATAACATTCATGAAATTCTCTTTCTAATGATACCAAATACGGCTCATAAAGAGACATAAAGAGAGAGAGAAAAAACAATTTAACTCCGGTCATAATACAGATCCTGTACGTTTTCCGCTCATGCATTACACGCATTGTCTATGGGGCATATCGGGTTCACGCTTTTGACCCCCAGAACGATCTTTATTGCAATGACGAACATGCACCAAATCCCCTTGGTTTTTGCACGCAGTGCTTGCGAGCCCTTTCCACGTCCTTTCCCATATCCCAATTTCTTTCAAACTTCGTAGGCATAGTCACTACCATCCCATCAAGGTCACTGTTGAGGCCTTTCTTTCGCCCTACCTATCTCCACTATCACAGAAGCTACAGACTTCGTACAAATTGCTCTGGATAGGGCGAGAGAAGCTCTTTCGTTTGACACGTAGAAACATGGCGTCATTGCACGCACATCGTTGTGACACGATTGCATTTCTAGTTTTTCTTCTTTTTTTTCTTTTTTTATTAAAAAAAAAAAAAAAAAAAAAATTATGCCAATGGCTGACCTAAAAAAGAGTGTCCGCTTACCCCCCCCCCCCCTCCCCCCCACTGAGCGACTTTTCGGCCGGCGCGATTTTCAAATTTTCGGGAGCAAATTTTGGGCCCGATTTTAAAACCCCTCCCTTGAAAAAATCCTGCGTACGCCACTGGTGACGACTATGATTGAAATGATGACAATGATGATGATGTTGGCCTGTCTTTTACTTCTTTAATCACAGTTTAATCTAGCTTAATGTCCCAAAAGAAGTCTTATCAATGATTTTTGTGATAATGATTATTATATAACCGTTATTGCTGCTCTTTCATACAACCATATTCAGTTTTTGGGGTGATTGACAAATACAGAAGCAAAAAGAATAGATTGTTACCGTAGCACTAATCCTCAAAAATAGATAATTAAAGAGAGATATCAAATAAAACATATCACAATACATATTCAATGGCTGTTCTTTGGTAATTAATGATTCATGTATATACGCAATTTGGAAAGGAAAGAGATAATGTTAGCACTATCACGCTCATGTCCTTTTTAATGATGTTTGGATATGTTGATGACAAAAAAGTACATTATGACTTTGTGTACAATTAAATTTGCCTTATACTGTGTGAGTCAAAAAAAGGTTCACACCTAGAAAATTGCTAATTATTTTAAAAATCATCTGTGAACAGTAAATTATTATACATCTTATGAAAGAGTGTTTTATCCCAAATCATTTGGTATCATTGTTGTGTGGTATGTGTTCCCACTTGGATGAACTGGAGGCATTGTTTGCGAGAATGCAAATATCGACTCGCGCCTAAGTGATGCATACAGCATGTATTATGTTGGGAGTAGCGGAATAAGAGAATGAATTGAATGTATCAAATGAAATGCATTGACTATGCTTTTTTCAGAAGCAAAGTCACACACACACATACACACACACACAAGCGCGCACACAAATGTTCGTTGATATTTGATATTCGATATTTGATATATTTGGATCTGCAAAGACCGAATTACTACCCAAATCCCAATTGTTTTTTTCAAACATCACATAAGCATACTTGTTCGACTGTTGTTATTTCTTTTTAAAAAATAAGCTAACCTGTGAAAGCATAAATTCTACCAAAGATCTCTTTTACATTGTTTTTCTTTTTTCAAAGACATTCGAGTCAAATGCGTTGGTAAGTCGTTCACATGGTGGTCAAAGCGCGAGTGGCTTGGATGGGGCCTCGCAACAAGGGAGGTGACCTACTACACCAAACATGAATACTTCAGAGAGGAGATCACGCTACAAGGTGCAGGTGAGTGATGGGCTATTATAAAGAAAGGCCAATTTACCGCATTCCGAACACCATTTTGAAAAATCATTGATTCATGACTACCACTTACGTTTCTGGAAAATCCCACAAAAAACCTCGAAATTCGCTCATATCGATGTGTTGTTGAGTACTGCGCATGCGTTAGCGAGGAGAGTCACGTGATCAAAAATTGGTATCTTACCGAAGTTTGCTTCACATTGCAAAAATCGATGAAACTTCACCAGGTCTTAGAAAAACACACACTCTGTAGAGGTTGGTTTTTTCAATTTCGATTGTTTTTCCCCGTATTTGCCGGTGGTTGCTATGTACAACATACAGTAATGAAGCGGTCACAAAGGTTCGTACGAACGATGATTTCGTACGAATCTCCCTGTTTTTCCATTGTCTTCCCGAATTTCCATTGTCTGAAAATCGTTCGTACAGCGTCCGTAGCAGTTCGTAATGCCATTTGTGACCGAGGCTTATGTGACATTTAATTTATTCCTATCTTAATGAATCTCTTGCAGAGGTGTGTGGTTTGAAATGCAAAAGGTCGTGGGTTCGATCACTTGACAAGGCATTAATCTACAGTTGCCACTCTATACCCAGGAAAGAAGGGAGACATGGGCCCTGTCTTATAAAGTGTTGCAATTGATGCAAATCGACCGCAAGTCCTGTAATCATTCGGTCCCTTATCTAAATAGAGGGTATAGAGCAACGTCGATCTGGCGCTGCTCAGTGGCTGCCGGGCTCACGATCAATTGGGCAAAAAGAATTTCCATTTTCGGTTTAATAAAATTTGGAGTGGACTAAAAGATTATTATTACTATTATTGCAATGACGAACCTTCGTCATTGCCTTGTTTTCGTTCACATTCTGCCCCATTAATATTCTCCTTTTCCTCCTTTTCCTGTTCCTTATCCTTATCGTCAGGAAATCGCATTCGTTTTGCACGTAGTGTTTGTTATTCCTGGTTCGGTGCTTTCATCATGTCCTTTTCCTTTCAAATTTCATAGGCATGGTCTCTAACATCTCATCAAGGTCACTACATTCTTTGATTTTCGAAATCACTCATGCATAACCGTCCAGGCGCCATTTTGTCCGTTTTTGGTCCATTTTAAGGCCTTTCTGTCTTCCTTCCTATCTCCACTATCCTAGATTCTACAAACTTCTAACAAATTCCTCTAGATAGTCTAATAGATGTTCTTTCATCTGCGACGTATGACCTGACCTTCAAAATGCCATCTTCGTACTCAAAATTCAAATCTGAAACTGACTCCGTCAAAAATCTCTCAAGTTCTTGAAAAATGGACCCCTAAATAATCTAAAACTGCCATAACTTTCTCATATAAATTCCGTTTTGTATTTAAATCTCACAGTATCTTTATCTCATAATTGCACATAGCCATGCCAAATTTCACGCTCCAATGGCTTTGCACAACATAAATAGCGCCCTCTAAAGTTCTGGGAATTGGCTTTCTGTCTGTGGCCGTATCTCCATAATGGCTTGGCAAACCCGTACCTTTTTTTGGATTTAGATACTTGAAGATATGCCCTTTCCAGCCATATACAAAATTATATACCCTATCACTGACCAAATTTGAGAAAATTGCCCTCCAAATTCGCCATTTTCAAGAAAATTCCGAAATAACTTCAACTTGCTCTAAAATGGCGATCTTTATACCTACATCAATGAAACTTAGCAGACATATGTATCCATATACGTGACAACTGTCTGCCAAGTTTGGTAAATTTTAATAACGTCAACGCAAAGTTATCGCCAAAAATGATGAATTTGCTATGCATTACGTAATAGCGCCTTTAATGCGTGCAGTACATTGCGTGCAGATGACAATGGTGTCAAACTGACCGCAATGAAGTGCCCTTTCGAATGATACCAAGTATGGTATATGTTTACACAGAAAATTGTGAGTAAATCGCATTTGAACAAGGGTCACTATACGAATTCCGCCCGATTATAACACTTATTGGCCATGACGTCATTTTTTTCAGACTACTTTTCGCCCCCTAAACATCCTTTTTTTTCCTTGAAAATTTGCAATGACATTCCGAGATGCAATACGCAGGGCACCTCGTGGCCGGATTTTTAAAATTGGTCAAGGGGGCCATTTAAGACGCCATTTTGTCCTTTAAATCTATTTTACATCACATGTTTCGATAGGATTATCATAGAAAAAAAAGAGTAGTTTACAATAACGACCATGAAATTCTCTTTCCAATGATACCATATACGGCCCATAAAGAGACATAAAGAGAGAGAGAAAAAACAATTTAACTCCGGTCATAATACAGATCCTCTACGTTTTCCGCCCATGCATTACACGCATTGTCTATGGGGCAAATCGGGTTCACGCTTTTGACCCCTAGAACGATCTTGATTGCAATGACGAACATGCAACTAATCCCATTTGTTTTTGCACGCAGTGCTTGCGAGCCCTTTCTAGGTTCTTTCCCCTATCCCAATTTCTTTCAAACAGCGTAGGCATAGTCAATACCATCCCATCAAGGTCACTGTTGAGGCCTTTCTTTCGCCCTACCTGTCTCCAATATTACAGAAGCTAAAGACTTCGTACAAATTGCTCTGGATAGTCCGAGAGAAGCTCTTTCGTTCGACACGTAGAAACACGGCGTCATTGCACGCACATCGTTGTGACACGATTGCATTTCTAGTTATTGTTATTATCATTAAATCCCTTATCTAAAAAGCTAAATCCGCCCCTGCTCGGTTTGTCCGTTCATCGGTTCGTACATCTGTCAGTCGATCCATCCTATTTGTAACCGCATGATAACTCAAGAGCCATTAAACGGATTTAAAGATTTTAACCAATAATGGATGAGCATGAGAGGATGAATTGTTTAGATTCGGGTTGGAAGAGGTCATAGGATCAAAGGTCATAGGATAATAAAAGTGTTTAAAAATACCAGAAAATACCTCGTTACCGTGATAACTTCAAAGTAATTGAAGCAATTCAAGACAAACATGGATCAACTTTGTATAAGCATGCACTTTGTATGAACTGATTAAATTTTGGGTTTATGAGGTCAAAGGTAAAAGATCATAATAGGGTCTTGAAAGTGTATACATTCCCAGAAAATATCTTATTAACTGTGATTGTTTAATCAAAATTGAACCAATGTGGACCAAATTAGCATCAAATATGTTAAGTATTTGGGTTCTTGAAGTCTGATATTAGGCCTAAAGGTCACAAGATAATTGATCAATGAATAAATATATAGGTACTGGCATGTTAAAGATGTCGTCCTAGTCTTTTAGGGGGATTTGTCCCGTTTTTGAGAATAAATATCCATGACTTTTCTCTCTTCCCCAGGAAATGATAACAGTGCTGCAAACCGAATCACACTGACTGCTGGGGAGCATCGATTTCCCTTCCAGTTCGAGATCCCAAATACGACTCTGCCTCCGCCATTTGAAGATCCTTTTGGGCATGTAAGGTACTACGTCAAGGGCACCATAGGCCGACCGTGGAAAATTGATCATCGCACTCAGAAGCTATTCAGCATCGTCACTGTAAAGGATCTGAACTACGAGTTAAACGTATTGGTAAGCTTTTGGTCCTCCTTGTTTTCTTGATGAGAAACAGCAAGGGGTAAGATGTTTAGATGTTGGAATCTCTCTCTAAAAAAATTGCTAATAATTATGTATATATAATTATACAAACAACCACCCCGTGGACAATTATCCCCTGGAAAACTACCACCTAGAACAATTACCCCCAAGGACAATTACCCCCCCCCCCCCGATAAAAAAGTCTGCTTTTATAAAAACCCAACTTATTATCAGGTCGGACTTCCCCTTGAAAATTAAGAGGGGTAAATTTCGGGGGGTATTGTCCTGGGGGGAGGTAACTATGGGTCAATTTTGATTTCTCTCTCTCTCTCCCTCTCTTCCGTATTCTTCCCCCGAAAGAAATGTGGTCGGTCAGATAGGGAAGTAGTCTCGACTTTCTTTCTAAAATATGCATCAAACATTTTTTTTTTTTTTTTTTTTTTGTGGGGGGGGGGGGGGGGGTGACATTTTTGTGTTTGAAACTTTGAACAAAATAAACATAAATATCTTTTCCAATATACTCACTAATCACCACCTTTTTTTTTCTCCAGTAATTCATACACATTTTTGTTTCTAGAAGTATGTGTAGACAATACTGCGGAAGAGATTCATCGGCAAGAGGGGCTATGTAAAAGTCTTTGGGATTAATGCTTTTGCTGTACCATATGAGTTCCTCTTAGTCACCAAGTTGAGAAGACAGTGTGTTGCCTCTGCTGTCCTTCAGGACCCGCCTTTTTCTGAAGGGACTCATTGACAAGAGAGCTAGATGTACATTGAATCTTAATGATGAATACATTTGTTGTTCTATGTAGAATCCTGCAAGTCACAAAATAAATTGAGAATACAGTGTGTTGTATTTCCTGTGCATCATGATCCATTGTTCTGAATCTGAAGGGTAGCTCCTAGACAGTTAAAGAGAGGCTGTAAGAATTTACCAGAATAATAACCATGTCATATAAAAATACTCTTGTTTCATTCATGTAGATTTCTAAAATTGCCAAGTTAATATAACGATGTGTGCTTAATTTGCTCTGCACCAGGATCATTTTCATTCATTGTAAATGTGGTGGTTATTTTACCTGACTGCTTGTTAGTAAGTAACCAGACGGCCGACAGCTTTTGGTCCTCTTCGAGGGACCTGGTAATGGAGATTAATGCCTTACCAATGTCACTAGCGCATAAACTTTGTTTCGAACCCGGGTCACCGGTTTACGAGACCACTGCTCTTACCGACTGAGCTATCGCGCCTCATGACTCATGAACAATGCCTCTGCATACAAGAAAGGCTACACACATACGTACTAGGGTAATAATGTAGACCTCTGTGTTAATGCTTTTGATTCGTAGGTTTCTCCAAAGTTCTATAGCCATGAAGTTGAGAAGACCGTGCTGTCTTTGCTCTGCATCAGGACCCATTGTTCTGAAGGAAATGGTGGACAAGAGAGGCTAAGTACATGTGAATACGTGTATCTTTGTTGTTTTAATGTTTTTCTGTATACTTAGGTTCCTGCTAGTCAGCAAGTTGAGAAGACGGTTTGCTGTCTTTGCTGCGCTTCAGGACCCATTGTTCTGAAAGGAATGATTGACAAGAGGGGGTATGTACCAGGAGAGTATATCTTTGTTTCATTGGATCTTCACAACAACAGTTCTAGGAGGATCAATTACATCACTCCAAAACTGCAACTGGCAAGTCAAAGTACAAGATAGTTTATAAACATAAAAGAATATTATGCACATAATATATAGGACCAACTGAAAAACTTTATGGAAGAATGTGGCCAGGGCCAAAAAAAAAAAATGTAATCCTTTGTGATACGCATTCTGCAAAGCTGTCACAGTACAATATAGTGTCAGAAATTGTTGCAGGCTTACATGAATTTATAGATTTCATGAGTGCAAGAAAAATAGAGTAGGTACATATGTATGTCATCCCATCCAATTTGCTGGGGATTGCAGACATAGTCTATTGTTCTTTCTCTTGAGAAGTGCCATATGCTCGGACTTCTGGATAAGTGACCGGGATCTCATCCTCAAATTGTCATTGTAGATCATGTACCTGGTACATTTTCATGATTGAAAACCAATATCATTGCTTCATGGTAAAGTGTGTAGATACTGGACTCAAAGACTTTCAGTTGTTACTGTTTATCAGTAGGCTTTAGGAGGAACTATGTACACAAGATGTACCTTTGGAAATACAGGCATCTGGATTTCGAAGGCAAGAGGGTGTTTTGACGCTTTCAACGGTACTGAGGGTGGATAATTGTAATATAAAATACAATTTTCAGTACTACTAGGAAAAGGGACCCAAGGTTTCGGCATACATATAGAGGCACAATGTCTGCTTTTCGTCTCCAACACTCGGGACTAATTAGATAATACCAAACAATAAATAAAGGTTAGATTTCACTTCTTAATTCACAGCGTACATGAGTAATGTTCATCCAAATTTCATTATGTATTATTCATTTGAACAATTTGTTTTCCCTTTATATCTTCTCCAACCTCTGAATGAAAGTCATGTAGCATATGACTAAGTCTTTCCATCTGCATCTCTTGCAGAGAGGACATTTCACGGCCAAACGTGAAGGCACCGGTAAAATCGGCAACCTAAAGACGGTCAAGACAGTGGCTGAACTGAAGCTAGCTGGCTGCGAAGCCATGGGTTCAGTGAACTACGACAGGGTGAAGATGTTGATCCCTCCTATCCCATCCTGTGCTTTCGAAAACAGCCCAAACATTACATTAGAGTATTTTGTTGAGGTAAGAATTTGAAGAGGGTGGTAGTCCTTTGAATGTCATTCTGTGTCACTTGAACTTGAACTACATGTAAAAGGTGAACTTAGTGTTTATATTAATTTTACGTTGTCGTTCGCTAGGTGTGCGTCATCATTCGTTACTCGTTCGTCGAGCGCGCTGGACCAACGCTATGCATCGACGTCATTCGCTGTGTGCATCGGGATTTTTTGAGCATGCTATATAACAAATGTGCGCAGAGCTGGACGCATGAATGTAAACGCCAAAAGCACACCCGACATGCGTGGAGCGCTATAGACCAACGCCGGACATGCGCGGAGCACACGCTGTGTATTCGTAGTCTAGTTATGGACCCTACTATAAGCGTTAAGCCGAGTGATGGCGCGATCCTTAGTGACGGCGCGATCACCGAGAACAAGTCGGTAATAGGTCTCGAGGGTCGCACCGTCACTAGGATCGCGCCATCACTCGGCTTAAAGATAAGTGGGAAAATGAAGACTATTAGTTGTCAAATCGACTTAACAGCTAAAGAGCCAGTAAGTAATAGTCTGATTTTCAGACCACTGTACCGAATGGTCGTACAGTTTATGCTGCGCAAAGATGCAATCAGTTTAATTTTGGCCATTACAAGAAGTGGGTCATTGATAAGGACAAATGCTCATGTATCCTTTAAAGCTCATTTTATGGATGTTATTACCAAAGAAGAAAAAAAAAAGTCAGTCAGTCACTCAATAGTGTCTGACAGTGATGTTTAGCAAGTAAACGGGTTTCTTTGCATAATTTTAATATTAGGACACTGCTAACGTTTAAATTCCACAGATAGGATGTACATGACATATTCATAATTCCTGCAAAGTTTTACAGAATTTGATGTTGGGTGCAAAAGGGACATAGTATCTTTAACGCTTATAGTTGGCGAATAACAAAAATCAATATAGGGTCCAAAACTAGACTATGTATTCGTTGTGAGTTCGGCGGCCGACGTCTGGCGAACGCTTAGTGCACACCTAGCGCATACCGTTTCAAACGTTTCAAATGCGTTTTAAAACGCATGTCCAGCGAACGTGCAGCGAATATGAGCGTGCTGAACGCATGCTGAAGGTGTCTCTAGCGCACCCAACGTTCTTCTTGCGTATCCCTAGCGTATACCTGGCGTGTACGTATAGCACATTGGGGTTCGGGGCCGTCGCTTTAATTCTCTTGGGTGACATCGTGAAGAACTCAGTTGCGCACTCGTCGTTGCGCTATTTTGATATGACGACAAATGCAAGCAAGACGAGCCGCCGCTTTCGGTGTCAGCTCGCTAGCTTGTCCCAAATCCTGACAAAAGTTGGGCGCACAACGATGTAGTGACCTTATTTTTTCCGATTTCCAATGCGCGGGCCATGCGTCGTCTTTAAGGCCCGGTCGCACAGAGGGGACACATGGGGAGCTGACACCGAATGCATAGAGTGTTTCTAGCGCGCTCCGCGCATGTCTGGTGTCCCTTTGGCGTGTACATTCATTCGTCGAGCTCCGCGCACAGTTTTGAGCATGCTCAAAAAATCCCGACGCACACATCGAATGACGACGAGTGCATAGCGTTGGTCCAGTGCGCTCGACGAACGAGTAGCGAATGATGACGCCCACCTAGCGAACGACAACGCACTGGCCAAAATTGCAAATTTCCAATGCGCTGGCCGTGCGCCCCCATGCGTCCCCTCTGTGTGACCGGGCCTGATTGCTATATAAATGTATCAACTAAAAAATCCCTCTGTAGTCACTTTAATACCCCCAATCACCCAAATAATATTGAGACTAAACTGACGGAAGAGAGTGAAAAAAGAATAAGATCAAATTTTACTCACCAGTCAGGAACAAATAAATGCTAAATTACATGCTCTGTCAGGGTGGATGACTGTTTTGTATTGTCAATATATTGACATATGATGTACACATACATGAAGGTGTCGCATAAGGGAAGTATGAAGGTGCCTTGCAGGTTTTTTTCTTGGTGTTAATACAGGCATCATTTGGACATGATCCATCTGAGGTCGCCCAATCAATAAAGAAAAGAGATATCAATGCATATTTTACTCATTATATTTCCAAAAATCAGATTGTGGGAGATGTTTTTGGAACACATAAGAATGCTCTTGTGAATCTTCCAGTTGTGATTGGCACAATTCCAGCCTTTCAGCACACCCTAAAGGATCCTTCTCAAAACCCTGATGCGGTGCAATCCATACCAAGCCAGCCTGGGATACCCCCAGGAGGGCAGCCAGGAATCCCTCCACAGGAGCAACAGGGATATCCTCCACAGGGGCAACAAGGCTATCCCCCACCAAGGGATGGGTCATCTGGATACCCCCTACCAGGAGGAGTATCTGGTGATAAGGGTAAGAACTGGTATAAAGATGCTTCTCTTCAAATTCTAATAAATTATGATACATAATGATACATTCGAGATACAGCGGATTTATTTGTGATGCATCATGTTTTGAAAAGCATCTTTTAAATTTTAAACGATTAGGTTAGATCAGTTGATTTCATGATAATTTGAATCCATTTGGAAGTCACTGTGTCAGAAGTACAGTGTATGAACAATTTTCAGTTAAATTCAAACATAAGTTGAAGCAAGTCTAATTGCAATTTCTGTGTATACGTGAAAGTGATTATCTTGCTTCTAGTTTAAAGTTTTATGCGGAATTTTCTTGAAAGGTTCAAGACTTTTTGACAATTAAATTTTAACGATCGAATGTACTGCTCGTTCAATATAGTCCACGAAAGACTTCGGTTTTCAAAGTATGAAATATGACAGCACGGTGTGAAATCTTTCTTTCATCTATGTTTCATTGCAAATATGCAGATTTGCTTCCACCTCCAAAATATACAGCTGCTGTTGGAGGGCCTCAGAAGATTCCAGGCAACTTTGGTACTGTTGGCAAAATCTTCTATGCACCGCAGTACCCTTACTACGATCCCGACACGATGTATGCCTCCATGGGTATTCCACTGGGAACGACCGCTTCATCAGCAGATGGAGGGCCACCACCCCCAACAGTTGTGCAGCCAATGAGCATTCAGCAACCACCCCAGCAGACCTAATCAGCCAATCAGCATTCAGCAACCACCCCAACAGACCTAATCAGCCAATCAGCATTCAGCAACCACCCCAGCAGACCTAATCAGCCAATCAGCATTCAGCAACCACCCCAGCAGACCTAATCAGCCAATCAGCATTCAGCAACCACCCCAGCAGACCTAATCAGCCAATCAGCATTCAGCAACCACCCCAACATACCTAATCAGACAATCACCATTCAGCAACCGCCCAACCAGACACAATGATATCAAACAGCTTGTGTGCATTTAGCAACTATCCTACAAGTCTTTAGTAGACACTGGGCATTTAGTAACGGCTGTATAGTACTAATCAACTCTTGAGCGTTCAGAAACCACCCTGCCATACATAACAGGCCATTTGGTCATTCAGCATTCAACCCTGCAAGTGTAAAGACCAGTTCTGGTCATGCGATTGCATTGTGAAAAACGTTGTGGAAACGTTCAGAAAAGAACAGAAAATAAAGCTGAACTTTTAGGATACGTTGTATATGTACATGTACATGTTTTCGTGTAGTAAGAATTGTTATATTAAACATGTTATGCTGAACTACAGTTTGAAAGAGAGATTCTGTGGTTGTCAGCTAGTTTAATTTCGTCAAATGATGACAATGTGAGCCTTAAATGATTTAATAGCTGTTATAATATATCAGGGTTAACAAATGATACTTAAGAAGCCACCGTTCAATAATTATTCACCAATTTTGATTGATATGACACGAAGAGCTTTCAGATTTTGTTTTATGTCTTATGGTCATGGGGAAACGATTGGGAAAATTCAAAAATGGTTGGGAGAATTTACTGTAAGAGGGTGTTGCACAGTGACACCTTCAAAGAAAACCATAAATATCTTGGACGTGGTTTGAAAAAATTTTCAGGATTTTGTGCATGTTAGAGGGTTAGTACAGTAGAAGGAATATAATGAGAAACATTTCATCAACCTTCAACAATGTTTGTCACTATAATAGCCCTTGTGATATTTCAGGATTAGCCAATGTTACTTAAGAAGCCGTCCATCCAATTATTCACCAATTTTGGTTGATATGACACGAAGAGCTTTCAGATTTTGTACATGTACATTACAAATCTCAGTATGTCATGTTGAGATATACGTGTGATTGAAAATTTGTAAAATTAGAAAGCTTTTGCCAGTTTTGTGAGTAGTTCGAATTTTTCAAATGTTCGATTTTTTTTCTTTTAATTCTGCAAAGTTTCTTGCTGAAAAAGATGGTCGTTATTGGCATTTTGTGAAAGATGTTGGTTTCCATCATTATCATTGATGTAAAACAGTAGAATTGTGTTGGACATTTTAGGTTTACGAACCCTCAGATTTGATGTATACACTATACACTTTATAAAAAAGCTATTGTTATAAATAATACCTTGATATAGTCATTGGTGAGTTCAATGCATCTGATTGGTATATTCGATGTGCTACATTCATGTATTTAAATAGTATAGTATTCTTACACCTATTTTATCTCTAGGTCTCTACTTGATAGTTGTAAGGAAGTGGCTATCATTTTGTTTAGTGAATTAATATAAGTTGTTGCCGTCTTGTTTTAAAGATGAAGTTGAGTGCTGGTCATGCGATTGCATTGTTAAAGAAACGGTGTGGAATAGACCAGAAAAGGTTGATCACCTAGCATATAAGAATTTGTGTGTGTTGCAAGGTTCTGGAATCATCAAAATGATAACAAATTTAGCTAACTCTTGGTAAAGTTACAAACACTGTACACAGAAAGATGTATATGGGACTACACGAACACGTGGCGTAAAAATCCTACCCTGGATTTTTACGATGTTACATGACATATTTAGAATATGAAGGCATTTGAAGAGCCATGCTTTTCAGGGAACATGTCTTATCTGATGTTCTTCCACACTTGCATAATAAGAATGATAACGCTCACAAATTATTTTTCATCTCTTCCCAGAACTCAACCTTCTCTTTTAAGTTTGGAAAAGGTGTATCCATGAAGGATTATATCATAATTAGTATGTATATGCAGGATGTAGTTTTATATTGTATAAAATATATCGATATTCAGTTTTAAGGAGATTGTATTTTTTTTTTTTTTTTTTTTTTTTATTGGGGGGGGGGGGGGGGGGGGGGGGGCATGATATTAATGTAAGTGTTAAATATGCTGATTATATTGAAAAAGAGTATGTACTGTATGTACCTTGAAATGCAATCAGCATTAGTCTGTGTGTTATGTACTTGTACTTGTTTCGATATGTAGGGATTCATATGATTTAATTTCCATTTTTTCTTCAGAATTATAAGAAGTGATTTAGCAATGCAAATAAGCGATGTGATACTTAAAGCCCCTCTGCACTAGTTTGGCATGGAGGGATTAGACCTCCCTGTAAGGTCATTGGCAGGTGGTTATCTCATCAAATAAGCTCTCAATTAAACTAAGAAAAAGGGCCGCATCATGGGGGATCAACGGGTACCGCTTAGGCAGTGTTGGCTGTATAGAGGGCGCAAGTAGCTATAGGTAGTGCAGTGGGCTTTAAAGTTAATACGAAGGTGTGGTATGGGGTCATGAATTTGGTTCAAATGAACATATTGGAAGCGGCTTATGCGATTTAACAATATTCAATGATCGTTGTCGCGGTTGACTGAAATCGAGTCAAAAGTGATAAAATTGTAAATAATAATCAAACTCTTTATGTTGTATAGCTTTCTCTCAAAACTGATATTACTTAAACTGTTTCTTGACTGCAATCGACCGATTTGCTATTCCCGTTTAGAAATTATACATCATAACTGCATATTCTGAGATTGTCATGGTCGCAACTAGCATGGAACGGTCTTAGGGGCTATTTGAAATATTTAAAATTAACCAGGAGCAACGGTAAATTTTTGATTATACAATTTCTCGAAAGCAGTCTTTTAGGGGCTAAATTTTCTAGTGCTTATAGTACATCCATAGGGACATCCAAATAGGCCTATATCAAAATTTTAAAGAATTCTTATCCATCCAATTTTCAAAATTTTCCAAAACTTTGCATTACCTTTAAAGGGACCAATCATCGATAACAGGAATTGTAATCATTTTAAAAATAATGCTAATAATCAGTATATTGCTAGTATGTATAAAGTGATCAATTAATAATCAACAGTACACCCCAAAAACTAACAACTACAAAATACCCAGCTATATGCAGGTAAAAGGTTAAAGAGCATGAAGGAAGTGACGGAGAACTTTACATTCTGCATGCGGGGATTGCATTTAGGTGTGTGTTCAGCAATCTTCTCATAATGTGCTTTCCCCTTTAATGAGAGTATTGAAAATTTGAATATCTTGTTAAATAAGTAGTGATTGATGCTGGTATGAATTATAATAGTTTGCTTGCTTAGAATAACAAAAAGTGATTGGTTTTAATATTTGTATATGCTGATGATTGGTCTCCGTAAAAGTAAAATGATAATGGTCTGCTCACGTGATTTATTTGTGGATTTTCCATTCCTGTCTTCCAAAGAAGTTGCCATCAAAAATTTGTGACACACTTGGATGTTACAAAATGAAAGAAGCTGAAGAGTGTCGTGCATTTGTTTTTGTTTAAGAAAAAAACATATTGTTAAGCAATGTGTAATCAAATAAGTTACCATATCTAACATTATTTGGAGGGTGGGCAGAAAAGAATACCTGCGAACCCAACGTTCGGATGACGCTAATAATGTCAAAAGCGTATAAGTACTGTATTGATCAATACTGAATTGTATTTGTCTTTACACGTTGAAGTATTTTTCTTTCATGACTATTGCCGAAGGACTTTAGTGTCTTTTTTTTAGTCAGGGAAAATTTTCTTCAATCAGTAAAAATCAGTAATCCGGGAATTTCATCTCAATCTCAAGTGGAAGTAGTGCAATAGTGTCAAAATTACTGTACTGTAAATTGTGCCGTTGTGCTTTTAGCTATACTGTTGAAAAGGTTTCAAACTGGGAATAAATCGAAATAATGTTTGATTGGAAATGGTAAGGGCCTACTTGGAAGAAAACGGATGATTTTATTCTCATGAAGTGCAGGGAACCGTATTGATCAATATTTCCATTTGTTAACTTTCAATTAGAGTAGCAATGGCTGAAATTAGTAGATGTTATGAATAGAAACGGCTGCATTTTGCTTGAAAATGTATTGTACATGTACATTATTTATGTATCAGTATATTGCGTAAATTAGTAAAGAATTTGTTATCTTTGCAAAATGTCGAGAAACGATGGATTTGTTTTGTATTTATTGTTTTTGGATACAATGTTAATGTGACTTCAATGACTTCAATGACTTCAAAAGAACAGCTATTATTTTGCAGCAATTTTATGTACTTTATTTGGTTGATTGGGCCTTTATAAATAAAGCGATTCTTCTGTACTAGTACTGATCAGATATTAATATGATTTGTTATGATAACGAAATAAAGATTAATTCAAGCGGAGGAGAATGTCGTCATTAATTTGTTTTCTTGTTCATCTTGGATACGTGTGCCTGTATGTGTGGTCGATGGAATTCATTCTGTAAAGGGGGTTGCCCTCCTTTTAATCGTAAGTGGCGCTATGGCAATCTCTTCCATGTACAGAGTTTGATCAACTTGGTTGGAGCAGGGAGATGTTATCTCCATGGCTTGAGCAGGGAGTCTCGATCACCTCCATGGCAGAGGCGGTGGAGCGACTTCCAAAGTGGGGACCAACAAAAAAGGCCACTTTCTGGAAAAAGGGCACTTTGAAAAGGAAATCTCAAAGCGAAATATATATTTTTTTTAGACAATGGTATATACCTCATATTGTGATTACATTATCAGGGATGATTTTCGCGATATTTGTTTCTCTGTATGCATCATATAAAAAAATTGCTTAAGCATCATACTTTGCAGTCGGTGTGATGGTCTAAAAATTCATTTGCGAGCGAGCAAAGCGAGCTAGGATAAATTTTAAGATTTGTGAGGTCGCAGTGCGAAATGTTACATCTTGTAAAGAGGAAAAACCCAATCCTGGTGGGCTATGAGCAGTTGAGCACATTCTCATAACGGAAGACTGAAAAGACCTTTGATAAGTTACATAATTATAACATCTTTATATAGAGCGGGCGTAGCGAGCGAGGTTTGGGGGAAATTGCTCTTAGTCGCTTGAATTTAGGGGCACGTTTAATGATGAGAGGAAAAGGGGACACTTATCGAAAAGAAAAGGAGCACGTGTCAAAGTACAAAGGCTAATTACCAGAGGTGAAAATGGGGGGCTTCGTACACCTAAAAGAAAGGCATGCACCAGGGATGAAGAGGAAATGGGCAATTGCCGACGGAAAAGAGGCACGCATCAGATTTTGATGGGCATTTATAAAAAGTGAAAACGGGTATTTATGAAAAAGGGGAAAGGGGTTCATATCATTGTTGAAAAGGTAATTATCAGAGGTGAAAAGGGGCACTTATCGCATCTGAAAAAGGGCACTGACCATACATGAAAAGAGGCACTTATTAAAATGACAAAGGGGTACTAATTATAAAGGGAAATGTGCATTTGTTGAAAGAAAAGGGGAACCGATCAGATTTTTTTAGGGGCATTTACCGGAGTGAAAGGGGGCTTTATGAGAAGGGGGAAGTGACTCTTATTAAAAAAGAAAAAAGAGGCACACGTTAATATAAACGGGGCGCATTTCAAAGATGAAAAGGGGTAATTATGGGAAGGGGAAGGGGCACTTATACGAAGGAAAAAGAGCATTTATTAGGAAGGAAAAGGGGGACGTGTCAAAATAAAAGGGGCATTTATAAGAGATGAAAAGAGCACTTATCAGGAGGGGAAGGGGCACTTGTCAGAGTAAAACGAGTATCTCTCAGAATTGAATGGAGTCATTTTAATAATAATAATAATAATATTTAGTTTTTATATATCGCTTATCACAAATTTCTCTAAGCGCTTTACAATATACTATTACCCAATTGAAAGGGGCACTTATGAGAATGAAAAGGAACTATTTTCATAGATGAAAGAACAGGGGCATTTATGAGAAGGAAAACAACATGGGGTATATACTATTGTATTGCGATCAGGCGCGTACGCAGGGGGGGGGGGGGAGGGGGAGTATGTATACCAGTGGCTGGTTTGCAATAAACTGTCTTTGAATATTTCTAAGACTAAATTTGTTTTTTTTTCAAAAATGCTAGGAACCTAAATCCTGTATATAACAATGTTTCTATTTGTATCAACAATAGATTAATTGAACAGTGTAGAGTTTTTAATTACCTTGGAGCAGGCGCGTACGCAGGGGGGGGGGGGGTGTTAGGGGTTAAACCCCTTTCGTTTTTTTAATGTGTGTTTTTTGAGCAACCCCCCCCCCTTCATGCCAATGGCTGACCAAAAAAAGTGGCCTTAACCCCCCCCCCCCCCCCTATGGAGCAAAATGTCAAATTTTAAAATTTCGAGACCCAATCTGCTGCACGCTGGGCTTAAAAGGGATGGAGGGGGGGGGGGGCTCGAGGATCCCGATTCCCGCCGTTTCGCGGGCCCTGACATGTAGGCATCTCAAGAAGCATTTTCTTGAATGGCTGTAAATTTAGGAATTTGTCATTTTCCCACAAACGCATACAAAAAAAAATTACTTAAAAGTGAGGAAAAATTTCGGAAAATTATGTCATTTCAGCATTATTTGTAAACCATCGTTATGGAATTATAAATAAACCATGTTTGAATTTTATTTCCCCAAAGCCCCCCCCCCCCCCTCGATCTACACCTTGTTGGCGGGAAAATTGCAACTGATATCCCTTACCTTTCTTCATTCTCTTTTTTTCCCTTTCCCTTTCTTTCCTCTTTCCCATTCCCTTCCCTTCTCTCTTTGTTAGGTTTGCTGGGAGGGGGGGGGGGGGGGTCATTTTGGCCCCCAACCCGCTCCACAGATTGTTGGCGGGATTAACCGCAACTGATCTCCCCTTCCTTCTTTTCTCCCTTTTCTTTTCTTCTTCCTCTTTTTTTCCTTCCCTTTATCTCCTCTTTTCCTTTTTTCTTTCCCTTTCCTTCCTTCTCTTTTATTTGTTGATGGGGGGGGGGGGGGGGAGGCAAGTCCTTTTGCCCCCCCCCCCCCCGATCTCCTTCTTCCTTCATTTCTTTTCTTCTTCCTCTTCTTTTTTTCCTCTTTCTCTCCTCTTTCCCTTTCCCTTCCTTTCTTTCTCTCTCTCTCCCTTTTTTTTTTGCGGGGGGGGGGGGGGGGCAAGGTCCGGTCGCCCCCCTGGATCCGCGCCTGACCCCAAGCCCCCCCCCCCCCATTCTCCCACCAGAGAAAAACAAAACCTTGTTGAACCTCACTTTCCCTTCATTAACTATTACCTTTCCGATTGCAGCTATATCAAAATAGACTTTGTCGTTTGCTATCGCCCTTTACCTTCTGAGCAGCTTTGGATAAAGACTAGCAAATACCGTCAAAACAGGAATGAAATAACTTTGTAGTTCATCATAACTGCTTAAGGGCATATTTGTTTTCTAAAAAAATATTCCATACTTTCCGAACGGAACTTTGTTCTTCATGATTGTTTGATTAAATGATTCCAGTGCTATATAATCCACGGAGGAGTTGACTTAATCAAGGGCACATTATTAAAAAAAGATATATATTCCCTACTTTCCGAACGGAGCGTTGTTCATGACGTCATGACAACATAAAAACTATGAAAAATATCGTTTGATTAAATAGTTGTAGCGCTATATCCACTGAGGTGGCTGACTTGAAGATAGGCCTATAAGCAAACATTTATTTGGGATAGCAGAAGTTGAAAGGGATTTTTAGTAATTTGTTACATTAATTTATTATTATTATCATGATTGTCATTTTTTTTTTTGAGGGGGTGGGGGGGAAGGGTTATCTCATACACAAGTGATATCCACCGTGTCCAATCTGAAATTGACCCTACTGGCGTATTGCAGCTGTACTCAAATGGACCCTAATGGCGCATATCACCTTTTCTGAAATGACCTTAATGGCGTTGTTATCGCACCTGAAAGGGTACCCCTTATTGGGTTTTTGTGCGACCACTGCTTGAAAAACACCCTTTTTAAGGAAACGTCGACGACGCCGTATAGCTGAAAAATACACCCTTTTGACGCCTTTTCTGAAAGTGGGTGCATAAGAGTGCGGGAGGGGAGGGGGGGGGGCTTATCAGGCAATTTTGAACCATGGTGACAAATCCCTCTCCCCCCCCCCCCCCCACTCTCATGCCTCAAGATTCACTACAAAAAATAATCCGAATCCAACTTGCTAATCCAATAATATATATATATATATATATATATATATATATATATATATATATATATTTTTTTTTTTTTTTTTGGGGGGGGGGGGTGGGGGGGGGGGGGGGCTAATATCCATTAGTCAAAATTGCAACAGCTTCCGCGCATCGCGAGGGAGGGGGGATACCCCCACTCGCACCTGACTCCCCTCCGCGCTTCATGCCTCGCTGAGGCTTGTGGTAGAGCCAACCCTAATCCTAAAAAATCTTCATAAGCCTTTGCTGATTATACAAATATAATTGGCCCTAATGTTTAAAAAGAATGGTGTCCTCGCCTGACATAATAAATAACAAGTTTATTGCACTTTTTATGTCACATATAAGAGCTAGATGAGTTTGTGTTGTTGATGTGATCACTCGAAATTCACTCGACATGGGGAAGTTACAGGTATTTGAAGTTCTCCTGGCTGGCAACCAAGAAGTCTATAAGCCAGGAGATGTTGTACAAGGAGAAGCAAGGATAGTTGTATCAGAAGATAAGGGAGATATTCGTGGTGAGTAAATTAAAGACTGATGTGTGGACTTGGAATATGTTTAATATGATAATCAATGAATCAATTTGTGATATTTGTTCATATTTCATGAAAGTTTTCGTCTTGGTAACAATAATAGTAAATAATTCTTCTGAAGATTCTTAGTCAATATAAACTTCAAATTTCTGATTGCATTCAGAGGATTTCATTGGGGGTAGGGGGGCTGCTAATGGGCCACCGGTCCTGCCTATAAATAATGTCCCACACTCAATTGTTTATCATATCGAATTGCGTAATGCAGGCGAGACCGACAGGAGCGTTTCCCTTGTTAAAGGTTTCTACTGGTTTGACCATAGTAGGTCCAACAAACAATGTTTGAAGGAACCTGAGGAGTACATTTGCGTGCTTGTTCGATTTTGTTGCTGTTTCCTTTTTGATAATAAACTAACACGTACAAGCATAAAATCTACTATAGATCTCTTTTACATTTTTTTCTTCTTCCTACACTGTAGGCATTCAAATAAAATGCGTTGGTAAATCCTACACACATTGGACAGAGTCCGAGGTGAGTGGAGACAGCCAGAGTAGTGTGGACTACACCACCAATTACGAATACTTCAAACAGGAGATCACTCTGCAAGGTGCAGGTGAGTGGTGGGCTATTATAAAGGCTTGTAGGAGTGTGCTGTCATGAGGAACTTGACACCTTTGGGTATTTATCAAATAATAAGTGTTTTAATCACCAGGATAATCAGGATTAGCCTTCAGTTTATAACCAACAAGCTTTATGTACATGTAATGCTTTGCACTTTCTCATACACTGCAAAAACGGTGCCAGGTAAAAATGTCAGAGGAAAAAATGTCAGAGGAAAAAATGTCAGAGGTAAAAATGTCAGAGGAAAAAATGTCAGAGGTAAAAATGTCAGAGGTAAAAATGTCAGAGGTAAAAATGTCAGAGGAAAAAATGTCAGAGGTAAAAATGTCAGAGGAAAAAATGTCAGAGGAAAAAATGTCAGAGGTAAAAATGTCAGAGGTAAAAATGTCAGAGGTAAAAATGTCAGAGGAAAAAATGTCAGAGGTAAAAATGTCAGAGGTACAAGCAAAACAAATGAGTGCCGTCATAATATCTCAGCACTTTATCACTCAGAATGTCAAGACGTACAGCTACTGCATGGGCTAGTCTATTATATTCCTTTCTAAATGGATGTGTTGTATATCGTACATGTCCTGAAGATAATATAATGTGGAAAATAGATTTTGAAATTTCTTTTTTTTTGGGAAGCAATCAGAGAAGGTTAATCATCTAGCATAAACATGTAAGTATTGGTGTGTAGTGCAAGGTTTTGGAGTCATCAAAATGATAAATAATTTGGCCCAGTCTTGGTAAAGTAACAAGCACTGTAAACAGAAAGATATTGATATGGGACTACACAAACATATGGCATACAAATCGGGCAGGCATACAAAGATGTTACTTGTTATATCTGGGATATGAAGTCATTTGAAATAGATTTTCAGGGAATAACTTTTTTCTTTGATGTTCTATTACACTTGCATTGAACGCTCACAAATAATTTTTTTTTACCTTTCCCCAGAACTCAACCTTCTCTTTAATTGATGTAACATGGGCGGCTTTCTGCTTTGTATCGGAGTAACAAAGCTGCTTATTGATTTTCTCCCAGACTATTTTATACCGCAATAGTAATCGACAATATTTTATTGCAACGCGCGCACTTCGGGAATGTGATGGTGCGGTTAGCATTGATAACATGGCTTTCTGCTTGTTTCAGAGTATCAAAATACCAAGCCCTCAAGAAAGTGGAATTGTCGGAAATATGCATTTATTGGAAATTACATATAATAGTAGACATTGCCACGCAGTTAAAATGTCCAACAATCTTCAAATACGAAGGAGAAGTAGGAGGGGGAAGGTTCATAGATATCTGATCCTATTTTGGGGGCTGTACTGACTTTTCTTTTTATTTAATGATTACACCATGGAGCGACAACTCAGCCTATAAAACATGGCCAAACTTCTCGATTTTAGAAATCTTTTTCCCCAGAAGTTTGCTCAGTGTACCAGTACCATTTGCTTATACAAAAACATAATATACTGGTATATAAATATTGAATAAGGCAGACTAATGGGACGTGGATGGTGTACTCCGAGTTTCAAGCCTTGCAAGCGGTCATCAGACAACTGATAGCATTCTTCAAAGTACATGATTCCTCTACAACCAGGGCTCAAATTAATTTTTTGGGGCTCAAATTAATTTTTTGTCCACGGGGGCTCTTCCCCCCAAAAAAGAGCCCCCGTGAGCCTTCTCACGGGGGCTCTTTTAGTACTGACGGGGGCTCTCTGTTATACAAATATCCATTGAATTGGTACCTATGATACTCCTCAATTATTTGCTATTTCATCATTATCATTTCAATCAGCATTTTCCCTCTTACAAATTTACAAGCTACATAGCTGTTACTGGCCTGTGTATATAATATATACGCATACAACACTGATCTTTATGATGTCTTTAACGTGACATATCTTCTTCTCCCCTTGCAAACGAGAAAGAAAACAAGGTCATTAAAAGGGATTAAGCGACAAATAATGATTGTGATTCAAATTGATGCGAATATTTGGTTGAATAAGCACTGCTATTCACCCGAATCTTCTTTGTAAAAACAACTTTTACAATTCTCAGCCATGCTTACTGAGTTGAGACGTTCCATTCAATGTAAAATACTCATTACAGAATACACTTCTCCTAATCTGAAAGTGATCTTACAACACAGTGGCAGATTTGCATGGCTGAGATTTGTAAAAGTCGTTTTTACAAAGAAGATTCTGGTGAAAAGCATTGCTTATTCAAAAAAATCCTTGCATCAATTTGAATCACAATGATTATTTGTCGCATGATCCTTTTATTAAATAACCTTGTTTTTTTTTTTTTTTAATGATTACACCATGGAGCGACAACTCAGCCTATAAAACATGGCCAAACTTATCGATTTTAGAAATCTTTTTCCCTAGAAGTTTGCTTAGTGTACCAGTACCATTTGCTTATACAAAAACATAATATACCGGTATATAAATATTTAATAAGGCAGACTAATGGGACATGGATGGTGTACTCCGAGTTTCACGCCTTGCAAGCGGTCATCAGACAACTGATAGCATTCTTCAAAGTACATGATTCCTCTACAAGTTACAACCTTGGTATACGCTCAAAATAAGACTTAACTAATACAATACAATAAGACAGCGGTGAAATAACGACTGCAGAATATCCCTCGCTGTTCTTTTTCGATAAGCCTGATATATAGCCCGGGTGTAAACATAACAATCTTGTCACATGCTTTTGTTTTTATTTTAAACTCTGACATTTTTACCTCTGACATTTTTTCCTCTGACATTTTTACCTCTGACATTTTAAACTCTGACATTTTTACCTCTGACATTTTTACCTCTGACATTTTTACCTCTGACATTTTTTCCTCTGACATTTTTACCTCTGACATTTTTACCTCTGACATTTTACCTCTGACATTTTTACCTCTGACATTTTTTCCTCTGACATTTTTACCTCTGACATTTTTTCCTCTGACATTTTTACCTCTGACATTTTAAACTCTGACATTTTTACCTCTGACATTTTTACCTCTGACATTTTTACCTCTGACATTTTTTCCTCTGACATTTTTTCCTCTGACATTTTTACCTCTGACATTTTTACCTCTGACATTTTTACCTCTGACATTTTTACCTCTGACATTTTTACCTCTGACATTTTTTCCTCTGACATTTTTACCTCTGACATTTTTTCCTCTGACATTTTTACCTCTGACATTTTAAACTCTGACATTTTTACCTCTGACATTTTTACCTCTGACATTTTTACCTCTGACATTTTTTCCTCTGACATTTTTACCTCTGACATTTTTTCCTCTGACATTTTTACCTCTGACATTTTAAACTCTGACATTTTTACCTCTGACATTTTTACCTCTGACATTTTTACCTCTGACATTTTTTCCTCTGACATTTTTTCCTCTGACATTTTTACCTCTGACATTTTTACCTCTGACATTTTTACCTCTGACATTTTTTCCACTGACATTTTTACACCGAGCCGCAAAAACCAGGGTTCTAAATTTCTAACACCAGTATGGTATTGAATTTTTTTGACACCATTGGTGTTATTTTTCACACCGGTCAGATTTAAGCATGCATTAATGCAAAAACCAGGGTGTTAAATTTCTAACACCAGTATGGTATTGAATTTTTTTGACACCATTGGTGTTATTTTTTACACCGGTCAGATTTAAGCATGCATTAATGCAAAAACCAGGGTGTTAAATTTCTAACACCAGTATGGTATTGAATTTTTTTGACACCATTGGTGTTATTTTTAACACCGGTCAGATTTAAGCATGCATTAATAATTACTTGGTCTTAAGTAACATGGTGTTGTTTTATGCTCGGTGATGAAAGTATCATCACGTGATTTCGTTTAAGGTGGTTGATTGGTCGTAAAAGTTTTCACAAAGTGTACGACGCTTAATGATTACTTTACACGTGTTCACAGAAGAATACATTTATCATGATTTGTTAAGCAAATTATGACAATGCACATAAATTTTATGATTTGTATTTTCCTTTGGCAATTATTGACCAATAGATTATTTGTCCGATCTTGTATAATTACATGAACGTTTTAGCAATAGATATATTGATTATAAGACTACTAACCAAGAAACAACATGCATAATTATTATATATTCGTGTACCAGCCTGTATCATTTAAATGTTAATCTTGAAATTATTTCAAATGATATATGTGATGGAGTTAATGCAATGGAGATTAGAATATACCTATTGGTGGACAGTTGCCAACATCGATTATGAATTATCAGTTTACCATTGGTTCTTCTACCCTGGTCGATAATGGTCGATGATAGGAAATATGGAATGTGGGACCATTGGATCAACAAGAATATAAACACCAAAAGTGGAAGTGAATTTGTTATGATTCCAGATATTGTTGTTAATCTACACCAGTAGGAGTTGTCAAATATTACCACCAAGAGTGAAATTGAATTTGTTATGATTCCAGATATTGGTGTTAATCTACACCAGTATGTTGTCAAATATTAACACCAAAAATGGAATTGAAATTATCTAATTCCAGAAAATGGTGTTAAGTAACACCAGAGGAGTTGTCCGATATAGATACCAAGAAAGTGTTAAATTAAACACCCTTGGTGTTAATTTTAACACTCTGGTTTTTGCAGTGTAGTAAAGCCATTATCCCGACATGGCAACAATGTCCTTTGGCAACGCATTAATCTACATTTGCCACTCAATACCCAAGAGAGAAATGGGGACCAGGTAGTATGACAAAAGCGTTGTGTTAGTAATTGCCTATGCCCTTACGGTGACCATATGGTAGGAATATTCCCCAGGGAGTGGAGATGGTGCACATTGTGCGTGAATGAATCCGATGACCGGGGTAATAATAGCTGTAAAGCGCTTAGAGACGGTATTCCCTATTAAGTGCTTTATAAATCAAGATAATCATATTACCTTACTCCCCCCCCCCCCCCCCCCCCCCCCCCACGTGCAAGAATCCTTCAAGACTCTTCTTCAAGAAACTAGGGATATTTATATTTTGGTCCCGCTTTTGAGAATTGATATTCAGGATTTGTTTTTGTTCTCCAGGAGCGGATAGCACTACTGCAGACCGAATCAAACTGACTGCCGGGGAGCATCGCTTTCCCTTCCAGTTCCAGATCCCAAATATTTCTCTGCCTCCGCCGTTTGAAGCTTCTAACGGGTATGTAAGGTACTACGTCAAGATAAACATTGATCGACCGTGGAAATTTGACCATCACACTCAGAAGCTATTCAGCATCGGCACTGTAAAGGATCTGAACTACGAGTTAAACGTATTGGTAAGCTTTTGGTCCTCCTTGTTTTCTTGATGAGAAACAGCAAGGGGTAATTAGATGTTAGATGTTGAAATCTCTCTAAAAAAAAGAATTTTCTAATAATAATGTATATATACACCACCACCCCGAGGACAATTATCCCCTGGAAAACTACCCCCTAGAACAATTACACCCAAGGATAATCCCCCCCCCCCCGATTAAAAAAGCCTGCTTTTATAAAACCCAACTTATTATCAGGTTGGACTTCCCCTTGAATTAACACAATTTGTTGTGGTGGATGGTACCAATTCTCAACTTGCTCCTATTAAATATGGTATACCTTAGGGTTCTGTTCTTGGTCCCCTGTTGTTTCTGATCTATATAAATGATATAATACACTCATCAACATTATTCTCATACTCACTTTTTGCTGATGATACCAGCTTGCTGTTGGCTGATAAGAAGGCTTAAGATTTATTACTAATTGCGAATCAAGACATTCAGAAACTTTACTTTTCTTAATGTTGCAGGCCATGATGTTGCGCTTTAATAGTGAAAATGTCCAGTTCTTAGGGATAACCATGGATGAGCATTTATCTTGGAGAAATCATAGAGATGTTGTATGCACAAAGTTGTCCAGAAGAGTAGGTGTAATTTTTAGATTAAAATTTATTTTACCTGAAAGAGTGCTGATAACATTATATAATAGTATTATTCTAACTTATTTGACATATTGTAATGTTGCTAGGGGAAACACTTTTAAGTCATATCTTGACAAGTTGAGAGTATGGCAGAAGAAGGCAATACGGCTTATTACTAATTCTTATGATAGACATCCAAGTTCTCCATTGTTCCTTCGACTAAGAATGTTACCACTAAGTGGACTTGTGTGTTCAATTGCATATTGTTTATGTTTAATCTTAAGTCTATGCCTCATGAATGTACGTTAAAAGATTTATTCCGTTAGAACTCGCAAATTCATAATTATAATACACGTCAAAGGTATCTTATTCATCAGCCTTTTGCAAGAACAAATGTCACTCTGACGTCTTTCCATATCTCTTGCATTAAAGAATGGAACAGTCTGCCTGATGATAAACAAAATTATAGTACAACTCTTTCTAGGTTTAGAAGGTTATCTAAAACGTACCTAAATGAAAGAGTGACATAGTTTTTATTTGCATCGTAGTAATTTCTTATTCTGAAATGCTTTTTGACCACTAAGGACCTACTCAGCAGTGTGTTTGCTGTGTGGACAGTCTACCGAGAACTGTCCAAAACCCCAGTTGGGAAAAGTGGTGGACCGGACGGAATCTCACCACGTTTGATTCGGGAATTCGCAGTGGAACTCAGCTCACCTCTCTGCGACATCTTTAATGCGTCGTTTCAACAAAGCAGGGTTCCAAGTCATTGGAAGAGGTCCATCATTGTTCCTGTTCCCAAAGAAACTCCTGCGACGTTACAGAAGTTGCGCCCTATCGCCCTGACTGACTTATTCGCGAAGCTGTTGGAACTGTTTGCATCTAAAATGATCTTGAATGACATATCTCACGAAATCGATCCTCAGCAGTTCGGCAATCGTCCTGGTTGGTCAACGAGCCATTACCTTTTAAGCCTGCTGGAATACCTCCATTCGAATGCTGACAAACCTGGATCAATTACGAGTGTGGTGCTTACGGATTTTTCCAAAGCCTTCGACTTAGTAAACCATAACGTCGCAATTACAAAAATCTACACAATGGGTGCACGGCCATCTTTACTTCCTTGGTTATGCAGCTTCCTTGGTGAGCGAACTCAGCAAGTGCGGTATAAAGACCAACTTTCAACAACACTCGCTACTTCAGTCGGCGTTCCTCAAGGGACGCGACTTGGACCTCTGGTTTTCTTAGCCACTGTCAACGATGCCCTCCATTCATCTGACTGCTCTAGGTGGAAGTATGTAGATGACCTAACTGTTGCAGAAACACGCCGATCAAATTCACCAAGTTGTCTTAATGCTACATTGTCTGTATTTGAAGAATGGTGTAAGGACTCGAATATGCGTCTAAACCCATCCAAATGCCAACTCATGAGGGTATCATCTGCTCGTCGACAGCTCCCACCAGCGGAAGTTATGATCGGCGAAAATCAAATCCCGGACAAGCAACACGTGAAATTGCTTGGCGTCGTCCTTAGCAGTGATCTTCAGTGGTTGGAACACGTCAACTGCATCACATCAAAAGCAGCCAAGAAACTCTATCTGCTACGGATGCTCAAACGTTTCTCTATGCCACTTCATGATTTGATCACAGTTTTTACGTCCTACATAAGACCGGTGCTAGAATACTGTTGTGTAGTATGGCATTCCTCACTAACTCTAAACCAGGAAGCTCAAATAGAGTCAATCCAGAAGCGTGCCCTGCGGACAATATTAGGACTAAGATATGAATCCTACCGTCAGCCTCTCACAGTGTGTATGTCCTCTCTGAGAGACAGAAGAGAAGAGCTCTGTCTAAACTTTGCTAGGTCCCTCTACTGTAACTTTCGTGAGTGGTTACCTGTAAGCCAGTGTTCTCGAAGACAATTGAGACACAGTAATAGGCTACGCGAAATCAAGTGTAGGACAGAACGCTACAGAAAAAGTGCTTTACCCTATCTAGTAAGGCTTTTGAACCAGCCATGATGTGGCATCCGGTTTGTTTAACTTTTTTGATAGCATAATACTGCCAAACTTTGTGAATTATATGTATTTTTGTCATTATAACTTCAATTTCTGTATCAAGATACAAATAAGGTCATCTTTAGTAACCTCATTTCTTTCCCATGTTTTTTTTTCTTTATATGAATTATTGCCAGTTATCTAAAGCCTCTTTTAAATCACAATTTGTTCATTAAGATTCATTTTCAAATTGCAATCTTTGCCTGAACCCATCTACAATTCGCCGAATTTAAATGCATTATATTTCAGATTCAATTAAATATCTTGGATTGAACAATTATATTATTGCTAAATGTAGAAACATAATGTAAATATTTTCAATACGCTTTACCTCAATTTATCAGTTAATTATCTTTACTCTTCGTATTGTATACTGTCGATTTCATAATTACATGTATTATTTTAAATTGCCTCTGGTTGCTCGTTGTTTTATCTTAACGCTATTAGATTACGCAGGTCTGCAATTACTCCTTTTGAATCTTGCTTCTCTGCTATATCCGCCTGTATTTAGTTGTTATGTGTAAATATTTTCTTAAACAGGTTGTTATTATACTTTTTAAAATGTTTTTACTACCATCTGCGTTAAAAAAGAAAACATTCTCATTTATACATTTTACAACTTACCAAATAATTTTTAGGTAAGCCATAATAATAATAATGGAGGGTTCTTGTATAGCGCTCATGTCAGTCAGATTTTTGCTCTTCTTATTAGTACTATTCGTAATGTCAATGTTGCAATGCATACTTTTATTTTTTTTATCGTCAATTTGTATGTAATTTTTAATTGTTGGCAAGTTCCCCTTCCCTCCTCCCCCTTCTTTACCTCTTGCCGCTCTCTCTCTCTCTCTCTCTCTCTCTTAGTTCTTCCTCTTTCTCTTTCTCTCTCCTTCACCTATTTCTCTCCTTCCTCGCTCTCTCTTTTTCTCTCTTTCTCCATCTTTCTATCTTTCCTGCTCCTTCTCTTTCTTCACTTTAATATCTCTCGGTCTCTTATCCTTTCTTTCTATTTTTCTTACTTTCCTCCCCTCTCTCCTCCTCCCCCTCTCTCTCTCTCTCTCTCTCTCTCCCTTTCCCTTTTTAACCTCTTTCCTTTATGTGACGTAATACGTGTACTTATAATTATGTAAATTATACTGTTTTAAATTTTGTTAAATGCAATGTATATCCATATGCAATTCAGTATATATAACTGTGATACATGTTTCAATAAATACCATACCATACCATTAAGTATGGGCGCGCGTGTGCGTGTGTTTGTGTGTTTGGTGGTGTGTTTGGTGTGTGTGTGTGTGTGTGTGTGAGGGAGAGAGAGAGAGGGTATTTGTATGTTCTATATTCTGTAGCTTAGTATTTTCATCCATTGTATAATCATACGTAACATTCTTATTACTGTTAATGTATGTATTCTGTTGACTATAGGATGTGATCAAGTTAGAATATGTTGATTGATGTACTATTGCCAGTTTCTTTTTTATGAGACAGATTATATCATGCTTTGTGTGGTTTTGAATAAAATGAACTGAACTGAGAGGTAATTTCCGGGGGGGGGGGGGATATTGTCCACGGGGGTGGTTGTCCTAGGTTGTCCTCGGGGAGGGGGGGGGGGGGTAACTATGTGGTCATTTTCTCTCTCTCTCTCTCTCTCCCTCTCTTCCCTAATCTTCCCCCAGAAGAAATGTGGTCAGTCAGAAAGGGAAGTAGTCTCAACTTTCTTTTCTTTGAAGTGCTGTTTTGCATTTTAACTCTCAATGTTGACTCTTTGTCTGCCATGTCACAAAGAGAAATATGAAGTTTTGAATAATGGAATAAACAACAAAATTAGCTTCAGGGAAAATGTTCACTGAACTTAAATATGCATCATACATTTTTTTTTTTTTTTTTTTTTTTTGGGGGGGGGGGGTGACATTTCTTTGTTTGAAACTTTGAACAAAATAAAAATAAATGTCTCTTCCTTTATACTCACTAATCACCATTTCACTTGAAAAAAAAATTTCTCCAGTAATTCATACACATTTTTGTTTCTAGAAATATGTGTAGATAATACTGCAGAAGAGATTCATCGACAAGAGGGGCTATTTAAAAGTCTTTGGCTTAATGCTTCTGCTGTACCATATGAGTTATTGACAAGGGAGTTAGATGTACATTGAATCTAAATGATGAATACATTTGTTGTACTATGTAGGATCCTGCCAGTCACAAAAAGAATTGAGAAGACAGTGTGTTGCATTTCCTGTGCGTCATGATCCATTGTTCTGAATCTGAAGGGTAGCTCATAGACAATTAAAGAGAGGCTGTAAGAATTTTGATTCATAGGTTCCTCCAAAAGTTATATAGTATCATCAAGTTGAGAAGACCGTGCTGTCTTTGCTCTGCATCAGGACCCATTGTTCTGAAGGGAATGGTGGACAAGAGTACATGTGAATACATGTATCTTCGTTTTAATGTTTTGCTTTATACTTAGGTTCCTGCTAGTCAGCAAGTTGAGAAGACAGTATGCTGTCTTTGCTGCGCTTCAGGACCCATTGTTCTGAAAGGAATGATTGACAAGAGGGGGTATGTACCAGGAGAGTATATCTTTGTTTCATTGGATCTTCACAACAACAGTTCTAGGAGGATCAATTACATCACTCCAAAACTGCAACAGGCAAGTTAAAGTACAAGATGTTTATAAAGATAGAAAATATTATGCACATAATATACAGGAGCAACTGAAAAACTTTATGGAAGAATGTGGCAGAATATGTAAGCCTTTGTGATACGCATTCTGCAAAGCTGTCACAGTACAATATAGTGTCAGAAATTATTGCAGGCTTACATGAATTTAAAGAGCCTTTCATTGACCCAGAATTCATCGATTTCATGAGTGCAAGAAAATTGAGTAGGTACATGTATGTAATCCAATCCAATTTGCTGGGGATTGCAGACATAGTCTATTGTTCTTTCTATTGGGAAGTGCCATATGCTCGAACTTCTGAAAAAGTGACCGGATCTCATCCTCAAGTTGACATGGTAGATGTACCTGGTACATTTTCATGATTGAAAACCAATATCATTGCTTCATGGTAAGGTGTGTATGTACTGGACTCAAAGACTTTCAGTTGTTACTGTTCATCAGTAGGCTTTAGGAATAACTATCTACACAATCTGTACCTTTGGAAATACATGCATCTGGATAGGTAAGAGGGTATTTTGACGCTTTCAACAGTACTGAGGGTGGATAATTGTAATATAAAATACACTCAGTACTACTAGAAAAAGGGACCCAAGGGTTCGGCATACATATCCGGCACACTGTCTGATTTACGCCTTCAACACTAGATAATAACAAACAATCAATAAATCAAGGTTAGATTTCACTTATTTGTTAATTCACAGCGTACATGAGTTAATGTTCATTCAAATTTCATTATGTATTATTCATTTGAACAATTTGTTTTCCCTTTACATCTTCTCCAACCTCTGAATGTAAGTCATGTAGCATATGACTAAGTCTTTCCATCTGCATCTCTTGCAGAGAGGACATTTCACGGCCAAACGTGAAGGCACCGGTGAAATTAGCAACGTAAAGACGGTCAAGACAATGGCTGAACTGAAGCTAGCTGGCTGCGAAGCCATGGGTTCAGTGAACTACGACAGGGTGAAGATGTTGATCCCTCCTATCCCATCCTGTGATTTCGAAAACTGCCCAAACATTACATTAGAGTATTTTGTTGAGGTAAGAATGTGAAGAGGGTGGTAGTCCTTTGAATGTCATTCTGTGTCACTTGAACTTGAAATACATGTAGAAGGTGAACTTAGTGTTTACATTAATTTTACGTTGTCGTTCGCTAGGTGTGCGTCATCATTCGTTACTCGTTCGTCGAGCGCGCTGGACCAACGCTATGCATTCGAAGTCATTCGCTGTGTGCGTCGGGATTTTTTGAGCATGCTAAAAAAATGTGCGCAGAGCTGGACGCATGAATGTAAACGCCAAAAGGACACCAGATCAACGCCGGACATAATCAGAGCACACGCTGTGTATTCGTTGTGAGTTCGGCGGCCGACGGCTAGCGAACGCCTAGTGCACACCTAGAGCTTACCGTTTCAAATTTGCACGTTTCAAATGCGTTTCAAACGCACGGCCAGCGAGCGTGCAGCGAATATGAGCGTGCTGAACGCATGCTAAACGTGTCTCTAGCGCACAAAACGTTCTTCCTGCGTGTCCCTAGCGTATACATGGCGTGTACGTAGCACATTGGGGTTCGGGGACGTCTAGTTCATTCTTTTGGGTGACATCGTGAAGAACTCATTTGCACACTCGTCGTTGCACTATTTTGATATGACGACAAATGCAAGCAAGACGAGCCGCCGTTTTTTATAGGCACAGTCACGTGACCGCTGCCGTTCACGCGATGGCTCTGCGTTGAGTACGCGGTGCATGCGTGGACCATTCGTCCCTCGCGCTAGCAACACGCTGTGCATTCGTGGGATTTGTTAATATGTGCCCTCTATATACGGTCTGTATGCGCTCTGTACGCGCCCTGTATACGCGCAGTGCGCTAGCAACACGCTATGCACTCGGTGTCAGCTCGCTAGCTTGTCCCAAATCCTGACAGAAGTTGGGCGCACAACGATGCAGTGCATGACCTTATTTTTCCGATTTTCAATGCGTGGGCCATGCGTCGTCTTTGTTTGACCGGGCCTCCCACTCAGTGTTATTTAGGGTACGCATATGCATGTTCCCTCCTTTTGAAAACACACCCCCCCCCCCCCCCCCCCCCCCTCCCCTAGGTCCGGTGTGTAAAGTCAATACTGGACAGATTTTTGTGTACTACGAGCCGGACTTTGGTGCGTGAAAAGTACCCCTTTACCGGAACATGCATGGTATCCTTCCGTTTACGGAGTGGGGGCCCGGGAGGTCGTTCCAGTGACAGATGATTGATTGCTATTATATCAACTAAAAGACTCCTCTGTAGTCATTATAATACCCCAAATCAATCAGATATATATTGAGACTAAACTGACGAAAGAGAGTGAAAAAAGAAGAAGAAGAAATTATACTTACCAGTCAGGAACAAATAAATTTCAAACTACATGCTCTGTCAGGGTAGATGACTGTCTTATATTGTCAATATAATATTGACATATGATGTACGTATACATGGGTGTGTCACATAAGGGAAGTATGAAGGTGCATTGCAGATTTGTCCATAGTGTTAATACAGGCATGGCATTTGGACATGATCCCATGCATCTGAGGTCACCCAATCAATAAAGAAAAGAGACATCAATGCATATTTTACTCATTATTATATTTTCCAAAATCAGATTGTGGGAGATGTTTTTGGAACACCTATGGATGCTGAAGTGAAGCTTCCAGTCGTGATTGGCACAATTCCAGCCTTCCAGCACACCCTAAAGGATCCTTCTCAAAACCCTGATGCGGTGCAACCCATACCAGGCCAGCCTGAGGCACCACCAGGAGGGCAGCCAGGATTCCCTCCAGAGGGGCAACAGGAATATCCTCCACAGGGGCAACAAGGCTACCCCCACCAAGGGATGGGTCATCTGGATACCCCCTACCAGGAGGAGTATCTGGTGATGAGGGTAAGAATGGGTATAAAGATGCTTCTCTTCAAATTCTAATAAATTATGATACATAATGTTACATTCGAGATACATTACAATTCATTTGTGACGCATCATGTTTTATTCCGGTAAAGAATATTCGGAAAGCAACTTTTAAATTTTAAACGATTAGGTATAGTCAGATCAGTTGATTTCATGATAATTTGAAATAATTTTGGAGTCATTGTGTCAGAAGTATGGACAATTTTCAGTTAAATTCAAATATAAGTTGAACCAAGTCCAATTGCAATTTCTGTGTATACATGAAAGTGATTATCCTGCTTCTAGATTAAAGTTTTATGCGGAATTTACTTGAAAGGTTCAAGACTTTTTGACAATTAAATTTCAACGATCGAATGTAATGCTCGCTCAATTTAGTCCATGAAAGACTTCGGTTTTCAAAGGATAAATGACAGCAATTTGTGTAATCTTTCGTCCAACTATGCTTCATTGCATAGCTGCAGGTTTGTTTCCACCTCCAAAGTATACAGCTGCTGTTGGAGGGCCTCAGAAGATTTTAGGCAAATTTGGTACTTTTGGCAAAATCTTCTATGCACCGCAGTACCCTTACTACGATCCAGACACGCTGTATGCCTCCATAGGTATTCCATTGGGAGCGACCCAATCAGCAGATGGAGGGCAACCACCCCCAACAGTTGTGCAGCCAATGAGCATTCAGCAACCACCCAAGCAGACCTAATCAGCCAATCAGAATTCAGCAACCACCCCAACAGACCTAATCAGCCAATCAGCATTCAGCAACCACCCCACCATACCTAATCAGCCAATCAGCATTCAGCAACCACCCCAGCAGACCTAATCAGCCAATCAGAATTCAGCAACCACCCCAGCAGATCTAATCAGCCAATCACCATTCAGCAACCACCCAACCAGACATAATGATATTAAACAGCTTGTGTGCATTTAGCAACTATCCTACAAGTCTTTAGTAGACACTGGGCATTTAGTAACGGCCGTATAGTACTAATCAACTCTTGAGCGTTCAGAGACCACCCTTCCATACTAAACAAGGTATTTGGTCATTCAGCATCAAACCTACAAGTATTTAATAGGTAAAGAGCATATGTAACAGTCCTACAATGCCATTCAGCCGATGAGAATTCAGCAATCCACCCTGAAATTCGTACCAACCATCGGAAATTATGCAACAGCCCTACAAGTCTGTAGTCCCTGAGCATTTAGCAATTATTGTCCTACAACTCCTGCCCACGCAATAAGCGTTCGGAAAAGAACAGAAAAATAAAGCTGAAGTTTTAGGATAAGTTGTATAATACATTTACATGTTTTCTTGTAGTAAGAATTGTTATGCTGAACTACAGTTTTAAAAGAAAGATTTTGTTGTTGTCAGCTAGGTATAGTGACCATACACTCATTTAGTTTAATTCCGTCAAATGATGACAATGTGAGCTTTAAACGATATAATAGCTTTTATAATATATTAGGGTTAACCAATGATACCTAAGAAGCCATCCATTCAATTATTCACCAATTTTGATTGATATGACACGAAGAGCTTTCAGATTTTGTACATGTACATTAGGAATTTGTAAAATTAGAAAGCTTTTGCCTGCTTTATGAGTGGTTCCAATTTCAAATGTTCGATTTTTGTTTCTTTTAATTCTGCAAAGTTTCTTACTGAAAAAGATGGTCATTATTGGCATTTTTTGAAAATTGTTGGTTTCCATTATTATTACTGATGTAAAACAGTAGAAATGTGTTTGACACCTTAGGTTAGGAACCCTCGGATATTGATGTATAATACTTTATAGAAAAAAGCTATTGTTATAAAACCTTGTTATAACCATTGGTGAGTTCAATTCATCTGATTGGTATATTCTCTGTGCTACATTCATGTATTTAAATAGTATAATTAGCTTACACCTATTTTATTTCTAGGTCTCTATTTGGAAGTTGTAAGAAAGTGGCTATCATTTATTTAGTGCATTAATATAAGTTTTTGCCGTCTTGTTTTAAGTTTGGAAAAGGTATATCCATAAAGGAAAATATCATAATTAGTATATAATTTATATGCAGGATGTAGTTTTATATTGTATAAAATATATCGATATTAAAATTTTAAGGAGATTGGATTTTTGGGGGACATAATATTAATGTATGTGTATTATGCTTTTCATTCTTTTGAATGATTATATTGATAAGAGTATGTACTGATACCTTGCAATGCAATCAGCATTAGTCTGTGTGTTATGTACATGTACTTGGTTCGATTATGTATAGTGACTCATATGATTTAATTTCCATGTTCTCTTCAGAATTATAAGAAGTGATTTAGCAATGTAAATAAGCGATGTGATACTTAAGCCCCTCTGCACTAGTTTGGCATGGAGGGATTAGACCTCCCTGTAAGGTCATTAGTAGGTGGTTATCTCATCAAATAAGCTCTCAATTAAACTAAGAAAAAGGGCCGCATCATGGGGGATCAACGGGTACCGCTTAGGCAGTGCTGGCTGTATAGAGGGCGCAAGTAGCTATATGTAGTGCATTGGGCTTTAAAGTTAATACGAAGGTGTGATATGGGGTCATGAATTTGGTTCAAATGAACATATTGGAAGCATTGGCCTATGCGATTTTACAATATTCAATGATCGTTGTCGCGGTTGACTGAAATCGAGTCAAAAGTGATAAAATTGTAAATAATAATCAAACTCTTTATGTTGTATAGCTCCCTCACAAGACTGACATTACTTAAACTGTTTCTTGACTGCAATCGACCGATTTGCTATTTCCGTTTGAAAATTATACATCATAACTGCATATTCTGAGATTGTCATGGTCGCAGCTAGCATGGAATGGTCTTAGGGGCTATTTGAAATATTTGAAATTAACCAGGAGCACCGGTAAATTTTTGAATTTACAATTTCTCGAAAGCAGAAGTGCTTTAGGGGCTAAATTTTCTAGTGCTTATAATACATCCACAGGGACATCCAATTTTCTAAATTCCCCAAAACTTTGTATTACCTTTAAAGGGACCAATCATCGATAACAGGAAATATAATCATTTAAAAATTAATGCTAATAATCAGTATATTGCAAGTATGTACAAATTAATCAATTAATAATCAACAATACACCAAAAACACTAAAAACATCGACTACAAAATACCCAGCTATTGGCAGGTGAAAGGTTAAAAAGGAAGGAAGTGAAGGAGGATTTTACATTACATCCTGCATGGGGTTGCATTTAGGTGTGTGTTCAGCAATCTTCTCATAATGTGCTTCCCCTTCAGTAATGAGAGTATTGAAAATTTGAATTTCTTGTTACATACGACAGTAGTGATTGATGCTGGTATGAATTATAATAGTTTGCTTGCTTAGAACAACAAAAAGTGATTGATTTTAATATTTTTATAGGTTGATGATTGGTCTCTTTAAAAGTACAGTGATAATGGTCTGCTCACGTGATTTCTTTGTGTCTTTTCCATTCCTGCATTCCAAAGAAGTTGCCATCAAAAATTTGTGACACACTTGGATGTTACAAAATGAAAGAAGCTGAATCGTTTCGTGCATTTGTTTTTGTTTAAATGCCATCTGTACTAGTGTAAATGAGGGATAGACCACCCTGCAAGGTCACTGGACAGGTGGTTACCTCATCAACTGTACTCAGCTCTCAAATAACATAAAAAAAGAGGATCATGGAGGACCAATGGCCACCGATTAGGCATTGTTTGTTATATAGAGGGCGCAAGTAGCTACAAGTAGTGCAGTGTGGCTTTAAGGAAAAAAACACATATGTGAAGTAAATGTGTGATCAAACATGTTACCATATTTAACATTATTTGGAGGGTGTGCAGAAAAGAATACCTGCGAACCCAACGTTCGGATGACGCTAATAATGTAAATAACGTATAAGTACTGTATTGACCAATACTGAATTGTTTTTGTCTTTACACGTTGAAGTATTTTTCTTCCATGAGTATTAATAATTCACCTGGAAATCAGGGAAATATCCAGAAATTAATAATAATAATAATAATAATGATAATAATAATCGGCATATCTATAACGCCGTCTATCTAGATATTCTATTCCGAGGCGCACTTTATTATTACTCCGGCTTTAGCCTAGCTGCCATGACACCGCTCTAGCATTTCAAGGAATTAATTCCTGCCAGGTGCCCATTTACCTCACCTGGGGGGGGGGGGGGTGTTTCACAAAGATCCTAAGTTGAACTTATATCTACGTAGGGACTTAACGATTATGAAAAGCCATTACAATCTCTGAAAATATTTTGTAAAGTTATTCTAAAAGGCATAAGATGTTGATTTGAATCATCATATTTTCTATTATCAAGGATATTTCATGTTCTTGATGTGGAATTTATATATGAAAAGTCTAAAATACTTGAATATTTGCTTTTGAATATATTTTGTTTTAAGGCTACAAATGGCTCTCCATAATTTTTAAGTCCAACTTAGAGTTAAGTTTGACTTAAGATATTTGTGAAACACCCTCCTGGGTCGAGTGTGGCAGATGAAGATAAATGCCTTGCCAAAGGACCTTAGTGTCCTTTTTCTTCAGTCAGTGAAAATTCTCTTCAATCAGTAAAAATCAGTAATCCGGGAATTTACTTTCAATCTCAAGTGAGAGTATAGTAGGCCTATAATAGTGTCAAAATGTCTGTACTGTAAATTGTGCCGTTGTGCTTTCAGCTACTGTTGTAAAGGTTTCAAACGGGGAATAAGTCGGAAAAAAACGTTTGGAAATGGTTATACCTGGAAGAAAATGGATAATTTTATTCTCATGAAGTGCTGGGAACTCTATTGATCAATATTTCTGTTTGTTAACTTTCAATTAGTAATGGCTGAAATTAGTGGATGTTATAGAAATGGCTGCATTTTGCTTGAAAATGTTATTGTACATGACTGGCAAGGTTATATCGATGCGCATGACTTGTGTACATTTATGTATCAGTATAATTGCATGAATTTGTAAAGAATTGGTTATCTCCGGAAAATGTAAGAAAACGATGGATTTTTAAATATTTATTGTTTGTGGATACAGTGACTTCAATGTCTTTACTTTTTGGTAAAAAAGAACGGCTATTATTTTGCAGCAATTTTTATGTACTGGTTGATTGGGCCTTTTTAAATAAGGCGATTTTTCTGCACTTGTACAAATCAGATATTACTTTGATTCGTTATGATAACAAAAAATAAAGATTAATTCAAACGAAGGAGAATGTCGTCATTATTATTTTTTCTCCAGAACTTAATTTTTCATCTTCGATACGTGTGCCTGTATGTGTGGTAGAAGTCGATGGAAGTCATCCTGGAAAAGGGGTTGACCTCCTTTTAATCGTAAGTGGCGCTGTGGTAATCTCTTCCATGTACAGAGTTGACCAACTTGGCTTAAGCAGGGAGTCTCGATCACCTCCCTGTTAGAGGCGGCGGGGCGACTTCCAAAGTTGGGGGGGGGGGGGGGGGGGGTGGGGGGAACCAACAAAAAAGGGCACCTTCAAAAGGAAATCTCAAAGCGAAATATACAAACAACAAAATTAGACATGGGTATATACCTCATAATGATTACATTATCAGGGATGATTTCGATATTTGTTTCTCTTTATGCATCATTAATAAGAAATTGCCCAAGCATCATACTTTGCAGTTGGGTTTGATGGTCTAAAAATTCATTTGCGAGCGAGCAAAGCGAGTAAGGATAAATTTTAAGAATTGTGAGGTCGCGGTGCGAAATGTTACATCTTATAAAGAGGAAAAAACCCCACCTTGATGGGATTATAAGCACATTCTCATAACGGAAGACTGAAAAGACCTTTGAAAAGTTACATAATTAAAACCTTATAGAGCGAACCTAGCGAGCGAGGTTAGGGGAAATTGCTCTTAATCGCTTGAAATTAGGGGCACTTTAAATGATGAGAGGAAAAGGGGACACCTATCGAAATGGTTAAGCCACTTATTAAAAGAGAAAAGGAGCACGTGTCAAAGTACAAACGCTAAATACCAGAGGTGACAATAGGGGACTTTTTACACCTAAAAAATAAGAGGCATGTACCAGGGATGAAAAGGAAATGGGCATTTGTCGACGGAAAAGAGGCACCCATCAGATTTCGATAGGGGCATTTATAAGAAGTGAAAAGGGGCATTTATGAAAAAGTGATAGTTTCCGTATTAGAAAGGGAAAATGGGTACAAGGCACTGTTGAAAGGGTAATTATCAGAGGTGAAAAGGGGCATTTATCGCATCTGAAAAGGGACACTGACCATACATGAAAAGAGGCACTAATGACTTATGAATATGACAAAGGGGCACTATAGGAAATGTGCATTTGTTGAAAGAAAAGGGGCGCCGTCCCGCACCGATCAGATTTCAATAGGGGCATTTATCGTAGGTGAAAGGGGGCTTTAATGAGAAGGGGGAATTGGCTCTTACTAAAAAGAAAAAGAGGCACATGTTAAATTAAATATTTTATTGGGCACATTCCCTTTGAATATTACAAATAACTGAAACCTGTAAATTATTTAATTGCCAAATTGAAGCCTCATAGTCATACATGTGACATTTCATAATCATGCTATATAACGGGCAAATTATTGTTGCTATTACTATTATCATCATTATTATTATCATTATTATTATCATTATCGTTATCATTATTATTATTATTATTATTATGATTATTATTCTTCTTGTTTTTGATATCATTATTTCTAGCCTATATAGAGCAAATGATTTCTGGATGGGGAGAGGGGAAAATATTTCTAGAGCGCCGCTACTACACTTCCACTAACTTGAAACAATGCTTTTATTTTGATAGAAAATTAAACAGTAGATTAAACATGTCAATAATCATCTTTTTCGTACGCTATAATATAGTTGCCTACGAAAACAAGAGAAATGAAAGAAAGATGCACGGGCCCGATAGAACTGGCATCAATGGACCTCCTCCTCCTTCTCCCTCCAATTTACACACTGTGTCATTGACCATGTATGCACAAGGAGCCATGATTACAATATGATTCTACATGACTGTATTACGGTTTGGGCGTGTTAGCATTTTGCTTCATCAGTTTTGGCATGAACGTTTTATTTGATTTTCTTCTGCATTCATAATAAGTACACAGCTTTTCGATAACAATAGTAATATAAAATAAAATTAGCATTTTTCTGACAGTGAATCATAAAAAGCAAATATATAAAACAATTTTGTTTTCTTCAAGAACGAAATGATAAACTGTCATATACTTAATTTCATCAAACATTATCGTTTACGGAATAAGGACTGTCATTATAAGCAGATTGCTTGATTAAAATATGACAGCCCCAGACAAAACTCATCGGAAATAGATTAACAAATTTATTTAGCAGAGTGGGTAAGTAATTGAAAAATACAACTTAGAAGGATGATGATATTGACAATGCTGCGAGAATGATGAGGATGATGATGATCACGATGATGAGGACGATGATTAATCATACAAAATATGACAGTTACCTGCCAGCCTTTCACGATGTAAAAATAACGAGTCCCTCGTGAAATAAGAAATTGATATTCTTGTTGCCTCGCGACGCTATCAATGGATCTAGGATTTTCATTGTTTTGGAATATACCCTACACTTGTAAACAACTCCCAAACCCTTTGTAACGCCCGCTTTGTTTACCATTTTTCACACAGACGAGCATTGATTGAGGTTTCAGTTAGAGTGCACTGAACTGAACCCGCTGGTTTAATACTACGCTGTGAAACTCCTGGAAACATAACACCTGTTCGCGATCAGATTTCTGTTTTCGTCAGACTTCTTCTCCATTGATTTGATTTTCTAATGTTTCTTAAAGGCCACGCTCCAAATGCCATGACAATAAAATAAAAATATCGTCGCAATCATAATAAGATTATTTCCTCTTGTTTTTAATATCCTTCCGCCCACGCGGGCATGTTGATGATGTGAGCGGACATCATCGCGGCGATGCGAACAGGTGTATTTTTGGAGTATGAATTGAATCTCCGGCCGTGTGTAGGGATCCGAGCTGCGCTTGCATGCAGTCGATATGAGTGCATATTAGGCAATTGTACACCCGGAGCTTAGGCGATTGGTTCTCTCTCAACGCTAATATGATCATGGAATCGTTAAATAATTACGAGGGACGAAATGATCATTTCCGTGAAGAAGCGAGATATTTGATACGAGATCTTCACTTGAACAATTCTAACGGTCAATCAAGAACTGATAATCATGGAAGGAGAGAAAAACAGTCTCAACAACGGACATTTGACAATAATTTGCATGTTCATCGCCAAAAACAAGATGTAGATTTGATTGCATCTTCATCAAATGATGCTGGAGATCGCAGACAACATCATCAACATCGAGGAGGAATGGGGCAGCCTGTAGGAGCTGAGCTAGGATTATTGGGAGCTGGGGATTACGAGCTCATGGATGGTAATTCGGGTTTGTTGGAACATACGAGTGGACCTGGTCCCGACATGGTCAGTGGTCATCGTGCGTCGACGGGTACTGGCCAGCCCCCGCCGGGAAATATGGCGGCCTCCAGTCGAGTGGTTTCAAACGACTGGAATCGCAATGGTCATTCATCGGTCGGACAATTTGATCGGCATAACTGGGACTCGCCACCACCTGGATTGAAATCAGACAAGAAATCCATGTATGTGACAGGATATTCTGCCAACCTCAAGTCTAGTTACCCGCCACAATCTCAAGGATCCAAATATGGAATGTCGAGGTCAAACTCAGCGGCCAATGCGAACGAGCGACTTGCAAGCGGTGAAATATCTCCGACATTAGTCACGGAGTCTCATACAAAAAACCGTGGTTTACGGCCAAACGAAAGGAACTCGGCGATATCTGCATTTGACCCTTCACCTTCGCAGTCGAATTCATGCGGAAGGGAGTCGTATGACAGATCTGTTATTTCCAGAAATTCGTCACAAACAAGGTCTGAAGCGCGATCGACTTGGATTACCGACGATTTGTGTCCCCCGCGTTCGGTAGCACAAACTCGAGATTACAACGCGGGAGGCTACGGCGGTGTAGTCTCACAGACTTCGCATGTATCGGGTACCTCTCTCCATAGGAATGATCAGACCGTCGTAAGCGATGCTGCTCTTGATGACAGACGGCGTGATTTCCACCATCAGCGTGATTCATTTTCAACTGCCCACCACCAGCGGGAAGCCTCATATTCCAACATCAACAACGGCCAACGATCTGGAAGTGTTTCTTCAGGGCATGCACGAGGTTCTCCTGCCGGATCCCAACGATCATCAATAGCTAGCAACAGCTCCGGAGACACTTCCTCTTCTCATAGCAACAGGAGCCAAGGAGGAGGTGTGGGTCCAGAAAGGAGAACATCCTTTAGGTCGCAAGGAGCGCAACATCCCAGCGAGAGAAACCACAGCGTACCTCCAGACATCTACCCCTCCCATCAGCATACCAATTCCTTCCTACCGGCACCGAAAATCCGCTCAAACTCTCACGACCATCCTTACCCAGCGCAACATTCCACGGACTACCAGGATCTATGGTCTGCGCAGTCCCAAGGAGAAACTGAACAGGGTGATATGTCCCAGGCTAGGAGACCACAGTCTTCCAGTAATATTGCAAGTGGTAAAATAAGTAGTGAAAGAAACATGCCTCTTCCAGAAGGCAACTCAGGTGCGAGAGTCGCCGACAGGGCGGCAATGTACACAACCCCAGCGACGCCAATAAATGCTTCCAACTCGAAACAATCTCAAGCCAGTGTAAGACCAAAAACTGGCTCCGGACATTCACAAGGGGGTGTGCCAATGAATTCGAACAAGTCCACAAACCCCCTTTTACGATACGAGGTTGTTCAAAAGAAATCAAATGGACCTTCTGAAGCCGAGAGAAAATTGGAGGAACTTACGCAGCAATTAGAAAAAGAACTGGAAGAAAACCCAGAGGGAGAAGAATTTGGTATGATTTATTCATAATGAAGTCTACGTCTTGTGTGCATGTACATCAAAATTCAAAAATTATAATGAGCATGTTAGATAAATTGTGTTTAGTCATGACTAAACTTTACAGTGTGAAGAAAAATGTTATCTTGATTTGCCCCCCTCAAAAAAAGAAGTGTAGTTTAAAAATTCAAAATGTTTTTGATGTTATATATATGTTAGAAGAAATGAAGAAATGTCCTGACCATGTTTTTGTTTTGGTCCAGAAAAAGATGCCACTCTACATCTTGATATATTTATTGCATAAGTTTGGTCCATAATTAATACAAGTCATGTTATTAGTCAAAGTTTTCACCTTTTGTTTTATTTTACATCCATGGACATGTAAAACTAATATCATCTTTATGAATATTTGGTTAGTTACATGTAGATGTGAGACAATAGTCATGAAAGTTTTTTTAGATCCTCAAGACTCAAGAGCATTTAAAAGAAATAGAATGAATTTGAATAGGATATGTAAACTTCTTTATAAGCATGTAAAATGAGTCAACACTACCATTCAAAGTAGTCATGCTGATTCATAGTCAATTCATTGATACACACTGGGCTAATAGTAATGGACCTACGAATATGCACTGTTTGGAATTTGTGCGCTGTTGTATTACTACGTAGCTAGCCTTGTACAGTCACATGTACTGTATACTGTGCATGTACATGTAGTCCCATCCAAGTAAATATGTGATGGCTGTGATAGGGTTGCAAGAAATACACTGTACATGTACATCTCAGCATGTTGAGAATGAAATCAACAGGACCCTCTTACTAGTCTTACTATATTGTTTTTAAGCCCTTTTGCAGTTAAAAAGAGAAATAAAGAAAGGAGATACATGTACATGTGTACATGTAAGAAGAAGAAGAAGAAGGAGAAGAAGAAGAAGAAGAAGAAAACATCAATGCAATCATAGTTTTCTTGTAGGGCTATAGAGCTCTTCTAATCTTCTCACAGAATAACAAAATGTACATGTACTTTATGCAGTGTTCCTCTTGTTCATTACAAAGGCAGTTTGTGATGCTATAAGTATTAAGTCAATAAAATTAGAAAATTAAAGGTTTGTTCGGATCTAACCTAGCAAAACCATGTTTTTTTTTAATCTGATAACATTAAGTGCATCATGCTTCACATTTCCTATCTTATAAAACATTTCCACACATAAAAAGAAAATATTGCTGCTTTTATTGTGGCAGTTGACAACTTGACAGCACTACATCCGAACCAGCCATTACAAATTTATAATAATATAATAAGAATTTGTGAGACTAGAATTAGGCCTAAAAAAAAAGATGTTGTTTTGTCCTTTGCGACTGACCCAAAAATCTTGAAATCTACGGTCGGCTTTTTTAATTTTTTTTTTTTAAACTGTTTTTTTAGAAAAAATATGTATTGAAGCGTTAAAAACTGAGAAATATCAACCCAAAGGGAGAGTAATAAAGAAAAGATTTCTGACCTACCAACCCATGTTTTGGCATCTAAAGGGCAATAACAGATCTTTTTCTTTTTTAGGCCGAAGGGTGCGACATTACATTGAATGTTACTCTGTTTTTGTGATCAACAGGGTACTGTGTGAAGTGTGGAGAGAAGGTGACAGGTGCAGGCCAGGCATGCCAAGCTATGGGCAACCTCTACCACACAACCTGCTTCACATGCTGCTCCTGTGGTAAGTACATGTAGGGTGAGCTTAGATTAATATTAAAGGGAAAGTCCACCCTTTAATAAATAGAATTACAGATGTAAATTTGATTCTATCCTTGCTTTGACAAAAAATGGAGAAAAAAAATAAGATGGATACATGTATTAAATTTAAATTCACATCCTGCTTCACAATTTGCTCCTGTGGTAAGTAGGGTCGGACTTGAATATTAAAGGGAGAAAGTTCACCCTTATGCAGGTGTATCATGGGTTCTATCATAAAATTAAAAAAAGATATGGGTAAATGCTACTACTAGTCTACGAAACTGTACTACACATCCTGATTCACAGGCTGCTCCTGCGGTAAGAACTCTGATATTAAAGGGAAAATCCAGTTAATCCACCCTGTCCCTGACCATTCTGATTCTCTCATTTTTATCCTCTCCATTTTAATCTAAGTTTATCAGGTCCGATATCAAGTTTGACATACATGTACACGATAAACCTGATAATTGATACGAGGATGGACTTCCTCTTTGCTTTCAATGTTTTCAAATGTACTGTACTTGCACTTTTTACATGTACATGTACATGTCCACAAATCTTGGGTACTCAGGCAGACATGGACTGTAGTAGGTCCATGATTGTACTCTCCGATGACAATAGCTCCGGGCTTTGTTTTGTAAACATGATGTACATGTACATGTACATGTACTATGTAGGGTAAGAGTTTGAGTTGCAATTACTCAGTTGGTTGTAGATAGAGGTTAGGTTTAGGGTTTGGTTATAGTATTTAGTCCAGGACCAAAGTTGACATTTAGATTGCTGTTAAGTGATGTGCAAAGCAATCGTCGCCGGAGCATGTGTCGCACAACTAGAGCGAACCTCGTCCTATCAATGGGATCACATCAGCCTGGAAAAGTTGTCAACATTGAGAGGAAAGCAAGCAGCACATGTTAATCCCACAGTCGTGGTGGGATGTAGTAATGTACATAGCAAGCATTCCTTTAAGCAGGGCAATCACAATGACTAATTTGAACCAAGCCTGTCTAATGATGGCATTCAATTTAACGAGCTACGAGGTCACGGGAGATGTAAATGTACATGCATACATACATACATACATACATAAAGATATATTTACATACACATTGTACAACATGCACTTGTACATGTATATTGTCATTTTATATGTACATGGATGTATGACAAGGTCTAAATGTACACCTGTACATACATGTACATGTACATGTACATGTAGTCCATCATCTTTACATGTACATGTATCATATTGATCCAGTCTTTAAAATCAAAATGCAGTGTACAACTATACATGTACATGATGATGAACTCTTTTTGATGATACATACTTTATCTCTTCTTATATCTCCATGCTTTTATATTGACAAAAGTTTGTGACTGTCAAAAAGTTGTACTCTAAACTTATGACTTTAGCATGTATGTATCGTTAATGTGCTATAAGTGTAACCCACCAAGGGTGCTCAGAAATTGCTTTAGCTGCTGATCTTGAACCTGTCAAAAGTCTAGACAGTTTTTTTTTGGTTAAGTATTCAGAAGTAGAATGTAGGGACCCATACTAATGGAAGTAGCATGTGTTGCTCTTGTCTGAAATGGATCCTACATAGAAATGTCTTGTGCATGAAATCAAACACTTTTTATTAAAGAAGAGTTCCAAGACGTACAGTCAAACCTGCTTTAGTGACCACCTGTCTACAAAGACTACATTTTTGTTTCCTTTAAAAATGGTTTTCCGTTGAAACATGCACTAAAGGAACCTGTCTACAAAGGCCACCTGTCTACAGAGACCCCTTTTTGTGTCTCCCTTGGGCGGTCGCTATAGATAGGTTTGACTGTATTTACCATACTGAACGTCCATTTGAGTACAGGTGTATGCGAAAATATATAAATGTAAATATAGAAATGATTGACACTTCAAAGAGAAATCACTTGGTTTTAACAACAGCACCTGTATTTTGGAATGTAAGTGGAAAATCTGTCATGAGCAGAACCCCTTGTCAATAAAGAGGATATTCAAAATGTACCAAATGATGTACAACATAAAGTACATACATGTACATGTACACTTCTACATTGCATGCACAAATGACATTTTCCTTTCTATAAAAACAAACAAACGTTCTTGGGTTTTGCAAAGTACTATTACGGTATTACCTTTATTATGCATTTAACACTGTCTGCATCTGTATGAACGAGCTACATTTATGTTCAGAGTGCATAACTTCTCTCACATGTTTTATGTTTATGTTTTTATTTTTTCTTTGTCTTTCTGTCTACAGGCCGCACATTGCGAGGAAAAGCATTTTACAATGTTCATGGGAAAGTATACTGCGAGGAAGATTACTTGGTAAGAACAAAATGAAAATGGACTTTTCATTTTCTTGTATTGCAGAAACACTTCATTTTCAAACTGTGCTTACAGGTACATTGTACAAGTAACGGTATACCTCTGTGTACATTACACTTCATTGTCGCTGCTTTATATCTTATATACCGATATGGAGCAAAGTAAAATCTGTGAAAAACTGTACACTGTATATACATACATTTCTGCAAGAATAATAAAAACTGTGGTTATAAAGCACTTTCCACCAAAGTCCCTAATCACAAACATTTTCTAATTGCTACATTGTTTGTACAGGGTGTTTACTTTTTGGGAACAGGTACATACATGTATGTTTGATTTTGCTCTGTTTAAAGCAAGTGTAATTTGTCTTATCTTCCATTCAAGTGGTGGTGAACTGGTGATGAGGATTAAACCTCGGCTTCTTGGTTACAATTTTTATCTTCAATAGCCACTGGTCAGAGTACATCATAGTTTACAACTTGTTTGATCAGTGATTACACATGTTTGCCTTCTCATGACCCAGGGCATTTAAAGGAACCAAATTACTCCAAACTTGATTTCAGTTAGAACACCCTTCTAGTAAAATGCTGCTTCTATATACATGTAGCATAGGGAACCTAGATGTAGTTTTCACTAGGTATACTTCATTTATAACAAAAACATGTACCGGTACTACATACAAATGGGACTTATGAGATGCTATTGCTGCCATGTACTGCACATGTAGGGAACCACTGCACTATGCACCACACCCCCAAACCCACAAAACGCCCTCTTTTCAGACATTAGGGCCCGTCTTATAAAAAGTTGCAATTGATCCAAATCAATCGTAAATTCTCTTTTATCAATCGCAAGTTTGCAGTCCTTTATCTCTATAGTGGGAGTGTTGGATGAATTGTATTCCATGTTACATGTAAGCATTCTGAATGTAGCAGAGATAATATATAATGATTTATCACTTCAATTTCTTGTCTGGAAAAAAACCCTCAGACATTGGTATGTAACTCCCACTCGACAATGAAGTGCATGTACATGTAAACCTAAACTTTACATTGAAATTTGAAAATTTGATTTCAATTGAGGCTTCCTTTGATATGCAGTGTTAAACCATGACTTTAAAATAAAAAAATGTGTAAATGAAGACAATTGTGAGCCTACACATATTCACTGAGTTCTGTCTTACATGTAGAAGCTACTGACGTACAGGGTGTATGAAGAGTAATTTACACCATTCAAAAAAATGCCTTGGTTTACACTTACAGCGTCATATCTGGGCAAGGCTTAATTATAAATCAATGGTTGTAAAAAATTTAAACCATTCCAAAAATGTGAATTTTGTAGATTTTGTGGTATTGGTGTTCTTATCTTGGTTTTTTTCGCCCATGGTATCTCTTGTAGAAGGATCAATATTGACTTGATAAGGGTTGCTCATGATTAGCAGCCCTCCTGTTGTGTTGTTGGGTCTCATCCCATATTTCATTACCCATCTTTGAGGATAAGTGGGCTACATTAATACTGTTTTCACACTGGCAATATTTTGCTTAACCCCGTACTATAGGTGGGGTTAAAGGGTATCTTAACCCCACCTATGGTCCGGGGTTAAGCTTATTCCACTTTCTTTTCACACTGGCAAAATGTTGCTTAACCCCGTACTATAGGTGGGTTAAATGGGGGGGGGGGGGGGGGGGGGGTTTAGCCCCACCTATAGTACGGGGTTAAGCTTATTCCACTTTCTTTTTACACTGGCAAAAATTTGCTTAACCCCGTACTACATGTATAGGTGGGGTTAAAGGGGGGTCTTAGCCCTACCTATAGTACAGGGTTAAGCCTATTCCACTTTCTGTTCAGACTGGGTTTTACCAAAGTGGGCTTACCCCACCTATAGTACGGGGTTAACTAACCCTGCAAAATAGCAGGGCTAACTCCGCAATTGTGGTGCTTAAGCTACAGTCCCATATACGTCCCGGACCGCCCCGGACCATCCCGGACCCCATCCGGGGTGATCCGGGATTCGGTCCGTGTTGACACCGTGTTGGCACCGGGGTGGTCCTGGATGGACCTGGATGGTCCTGGATGGTCCTGGGCGGTCCGGTAGTCGACCCCGGATGTTTTTGACGGTCAAAAACTGCCGGGGTGGTCCGGGACGGTCCGGGACAATAGTTTGATCCGGGGTGATCCGTGAAGCCACCGTGCTGGGTCCGGGGTCATCCGTAGTGTCGCCGGGGCGGTCCGTGTTGATCCGTGGCAGTCCGGGAGTGAGTTATTGACCCCGGATCACCCCGGCGCCCCTACGGATGATCCCGGACCCAGCACGGTGGCGACACGGATGATCCGTGTTGGCACCGGGATGGTCCGGTGTCATCCGTGTTGGCACCGTATTGGCACCGGGGTGGTCCGGGACGGTCCGTGGCGGCTCCGTGCTGGGTCTGGAATGATCTGTACTGCTGCCGGGGCTATGCCCGGACGGTCCGGGGCGGTCCGTAGTGGTACCGTGTTGGGTCCGGGGAGACGGTTTTGCGATTTTTTTAACAAAACATCCCGGACCATCCCGGATCACCCCAGACCATGGTCCGGGATGGTCCGGAGTGGTCCGTGCTGGTCCGTGCTGGTCCGGCTTTATATGGGACTGGGGCTTTACTCCTGTTAACCCCGCAATAGGGTGCCAAGCAAATGAATGAGAACAGAAACAAAAAATAGTCCGGGACCAGCAGTGGAGCGAATTAATGAATATTCACGCTGTGGCTAGTACAGGGCTAAGGAATTGCAGTGAGAAAAGCCAAAAAAGATAGTCCGGGATTAAGGATAGTACGGGGCTAAGCAAAGTACGGGGTTAAGCAAAACAAGTGTGAAAAGAGTATTAGGTAATACAATTATACCATGCAATATTACAGGCCTAGATTTAGAGTTATTTTGAGGCAGTGCATCGCTTTGAAGCAAAACCGGCACATACAATGTACATGTACATTTGTAATACTAGCTATTCTTCATGCCAGAGAAGAAACATGTCATAAGTACCCTCTACAGATGACCAATTCTACTTTGGATCCACACACAAAATATTCAATTGTTTATGAAGTTGATATACCAATAGTATTTTGAATACCAAGTATATTAATTTGTGGTACAAAATCACAAAAGATCAGAAATTGAGTCAGTGGTTTACACAAACCTCCCTTAAATATGAAAAGGAAAGTAATATGAAAGGGTAAACCTTTTAATAATGTATAGGAGGTGAGACTACTGCACATCACCGAAAAAGTTAATGGTGCAGAACCTTTACCATTATGTACACGTGCAGGCCCATTTTTCAAAAATTCTCTGTTTAATGCCAAAAGTAGGCCAATCAACTTTGATTTATTGCCAGGATCAAAGATTACATTTTTGGAGTAGTTGGAGTTTGTATAATGGTAGAATTTGCCCCTACATGTACTTACCTACATGTACACTGTAAAGCAAAAGTGAATTCTGTGGGCAAGACTGGTTTGGATTTTTTTTTAGAATGAACAAGACACATATAAATCATACTTTTTATAGCTTACAGTCATTTTATTCTCTAAATTGTACTGCATACCATGTACATACCTACATGTAAGCAGAGTGTAGTATTTCAGTAGGTACATGCCATTGCCCTATCTCCCAAATAATTAAAGTGGAATCAATTATCTGTAGCAAAATATATATTGCCCTGGGGGACAAAAATAGAGAAAGAGGTGATGAATATTTAAACCAAATCAGACAAAGCAAAGAAAAGAGTTTTTACAACAAATCGTTATTACTAATTACGGTATAGGGAATGACACTTATTGGTAATGCAGCCTTGAGGTGGAGAACAAATTTTTTTCTTCTTTTTTTTCCCTTTTTTTTTTTCTTTTTCTTTTCCTTTTTTTTTTCTTTCTCTTGTTCCCTCTTTAAACAAAATTAAATTCCTATGATGGAACTGAAAAAATGTGGACACTGAGCTTCAATTACTACACGTAATGGTATTATGAAATATAATCTGCTTTAACCTTAAAATGGGAGAAAAAATATTACAGGTACATGTACTGTACATATGTATATGAACTTTGAAGAAGGTTACAAACAATTCTGGGTATGACCTCATGTCCTCATTTTATCACTATATGTACAATACATATACCAGTTAAACTGTCTATCGAGGGATGATTGCCCATTATTGTATTTGTGCAACCAATGCATGCTCTGGTTATGAACTGAGTACCATGAAATTAATTCTCTTTAACTTTACATAAAAAACATAAAAAGATAATAAACATTTTTGTTGTCATACTCTAATACTGTTTTCACACTGGCAAAATTTTGCTTAACCCCTTACTATAGATAGGGTTAAGGGTGGGAGGGGGTCTTAGCCCCACCTATAGTCCGGGGTTAAGCTTATTCCACTTTCTGTTCAGACTCGTATTTACCAAAGTGGGCTAGCCCCTCCTATAGTACGGGGTTTAACTGGCCCTGCAAAATAGCAGGGCTAACCCCGCTATTGTGGTGATAACTCCTGCTAACTCCACAATTGCGGTGCCAAGCAAGTGAATGAGAACAGAAACGAAAAATAGTTTGGTACTACATGTACGCAATGGAGCATATCGCAGCTGACCAGATGCGAAGTAAGGAGCCCACTGTCTAATCATAACATTTGCGATATCTGGAGCTAATGAATCGCAGTGAGAACAGCGTGAATTTTCTTATTCCGGAATAGGCGTTAGTATGGAACTAAAAACAACGTGTGTGAAAAGCCAAAAAAGTTAGTCCGGGTTAAGGATAGTACAGGGCTAAGCAAAGTATGGGTTAAGCAAAACCAGTGTGAAAAGAGTATAATTATTGTAAAAAACCCTGTGTCATAGTACATGTACTTGTACATATTTCCAATTGGCATCAGAAAAGAAAGAATATCACTGGTATATATATATATATATATATTTCTGAATTATTCATATAATGCTGTTTATTCTGTCTTTTGATTTTCATTTTTTTTCTACAGTATTCTGGATTCCAACTGACGGCTGAGAAATGTGCTGTATGTGGTCACCTGATCATGGACACTGTAAGTCATCACGTCATGTGATATGTCATGTGATATTTACCTGTACAATGAATTAATTACAAGTCATATGGCAGGGCCCATTCTTCTCTTCACAGGGGGTCAGGCTTTAAACCATATGATCTGTGTGCTTGAGTGCCATGTTGATAGTTAAAAAAATTGGAGATCTAGAGGTACATGTGTGTACAGGCCTACAGGTATTGTGCAAGGGGTGCTTGTTTGTGTCAAGTCCTGCACACAGAAACTCTTCCCGCTCCCCCTCCCCTTCCATCCAAAAGAAAGCAAAAACAAATTTAAATATCTACATGTATTTCAGGTGTAAAAACATACACAAATTAATTAATTCAAGGACATACAGTCCTACATGAAATATTCAATTGAAATGCCTTTCAAAATAAACTCTTCAACTGTTAATCATTTTGTGAAAGTGGGACCCTGATTCGTCAATTGGTTAGGTCTGATTGGATGAAGTATGTTGCCATTGAGAACAAACAAACATTTACTGTAAGTCTGTAACTATGAACTTGTATCATTGATCTTGCACGCTGTAGATTCTTCAAGCGATGGGCAAGTCCTATCATCCAGGCTGCTTCAGGTGTGTAGTCTGCAACCAATGCCTTGATGGCGTCCCCTTTACCATCGATGTGGATCAGAAGATATACTGCGTCAAAGACTATCACAAGTAAGTCATCTTGTCTATATCACCCCTTTGGTTAGTCTTGACATGTATTGTGTTGTAGACTATCACAAGTACATGTACATTGTAAGTTATCTTGTCTACATCATCCCTTTGGTTATCTTGATGCACTACTGTGTCAGGACTGTCATCTCGTCTATATTACCCCTTTGGTTAGTCTTGACAAGTGTTGTGTCTGGACTATCACAAGTAAGTCATCTTGTCTACATCACCCCTTTGGTTATCTTGATGCACTACTGTGTCAGGACTGTCATCTCGTCTATATTACCCCTTTGGTTAGTCTTGACAAGTGTTGTGTCTGGACTATCACAAGTAAGTCATCTTGTCTACATCACCCCTTTGGTTATCTTGATGCACTACTGTGTCAGGACTGTCATCTCGTCTATATTACCCCTTTGGTTAGTCTTGACAAGTGTTGTGTCTGGACTATCACAAGTAAGTCATCTTGTCTACATCACCCCTTTGGTTATCTTGATGCACTACTGTGTCAGGACTGTCATCTCGTCTATATCACCCCTTTGGTTGTCTTGACATGTATTGCATTGTAGACTATCACAAGTACACTGTAAGTCACCTTATTTCTATCGTCCCTGATTGTCTTGCTACAATTGACTGTGTCAGAGAATATAACAAGTAAGTCATCTTGTCTATATCATCCCTTTGATTGTCTTGAAAGGCTAGTTTCATAATACATTAAGATTTCAAGACAATGCAAATGCTTTTTCACAAGTGCATTCTAATACTTAAATGCAGATTACATCTAGAGTAATTGTTGCTAGGTCTGATAAACTTCTGAAAAGCTTGTATATGATGCATAGATTAACTATCACTTGTGGGATGGTTTAAAAAGTATATTGCAACAATGTACAGTACTTGATGTGTGGATGAACAAATTTCCAACAAGCATATGAAGTTGTCAGAAGCAAACTTGGGTGAAGTGTGCATGAAATATTAGCTCATTATGCAAAGGGTGGTCAAATCCCAACTTTGTCCAACCAATGTTTAGGCACTGTTGAAACCACCATTTCATTGTCATGAACATGTAAATATTGCTCAATCTTTCATACAGTACATTTACATATACATAACCTACTGTACATGTATCTTTCAGGCAACGCAATACAGTCTACCTGTACATCAATTGGCAATATACATGTACAGTGATTTACAATCATTTTGTTTATGTTTCAGACGAAACTAATATGTGTACATGTCCATGATTATTCATTCATAATTGTTCATTCATAATTGTTCAACATGATTTTCATCTTCAGCATAATTTCCAATGTCATAACTCCATAAAAATGCAGTACAGAATTAAAGAAGATATTGAACTTTTGTTTACCGGGTATTGTGGTATTCATTCATATCAGCCATTTGATATTTTTTATGATGATTAAAAAGGAATTGAAATTATACATAATTTACATTTCAAGACCTGTAATTGAAAATGTTCAAACTTTACAGGAGTTCATGTGTGCTGTTTAGCATACCAATGAACAGGTAAATAGTTCAAAGTCAAATATCCCTTGTTTGGTTTTCATAGAAAATTAAGCACATCAATGGATTATGAAAACTTAATGTCCTACATGTGGTATACATGTACATGTGCATTCTATATTTCACATCCTATTTTTTTTCTTCCATCCATTTGGAAACTGCCAATTTTAATGTACATATTCTTCTACATCTGTATGTGGAGATGGCCCACATGTACTGTTACAGATAAAAGTTTTGTCAGGTAGTTTGTAGAGTACAAAAACAGAATTCCTGGAATATATTGTTGATTTACCTGTATTTTGTTTTTCTTTTGTGCTTGTCATGTTTGAAGAATGCAAAGGTAAACAGTCTGTATACGTTCATTATATTTTGTCTTGTTTTGTCATTTATAGTCTTTCATATTTTCCACATTTACATGTACATGTCATTGCCATACGTAAATGTTTACTACTGTCTACTGTACGAATGCAGGTACAGTGATGCATCTACATGTAATGTACAGTATATGTACAAATGAACAAAACATGTACACATGTACTGTTATTACAATGCACAGCTTTTGCTTAAATGTTATGTATTGTATATTTATGTGATTAGAGGCAAAGAGAAACCAATGTACTGTAGTTCATTATGTGGGTGTCTATTCTTAAAGGGTTGGGGGGGGGGGGGGTAGGAAGACTGCCTGGTTTCAGTAATGTACACCTGTACACTTTCCTACACAAGGTGTTTCTATCATGATTTGAACTCGGCCTTGTTTCTATGTTATACCTGTTTGCTCACATGTATTATGATTTGATAGGAGAATGAACAATCACAATCAGCATTACCCTTCATTGTATTCAATCAACAGACTCGTTTACATGACTTCCAGTGTACATGAACTCTCTGTATTCACTGTACTACATGTACATGTAAGTCACTACTATGTAACTGTAGCCTGGCATTCAGACAAAAAGACTTGTTGTGATTTGGTCGTGTAGCCTTCTTTCAGGCCTTTGATTATGTACACTGTACGCTGACATTTCAGAAATGACCTAGCCCCAATTCATATGCCCGGGGCTGCTTTCGGGCAAACAGTTGAAAACTGTAATTGGTACAGATGCACACAATTTGGAAAATTTTATTTTAAAGTATGGTACATGTACATATTGTAGGTAGAGTCAAATTCACCACATAGTGCATTTTCTATGAACATGAAAATTGCAATATTCAAACTGTTTCAATTTGTGCAAGTGTTTGGAGACAAAAATTAGTTAAAAGGACAATTGGAAAAAAAGAAGTGTCATAACACCTGGCCAGAAGCTACATGTACATGTATGCAGCTTTTTCGCTACCCACACACACTGGCCACTGCCCCTCCTATTTTTATTTATTTTATTTTATTTTTTTTTTGGGGGGGGTCCTTTGGCATATCAAGTTTGGGAGAAATATATCATTTTACTTTTAGGGTCAAATTTGTTCATTCTCTTTTGCTCAGACACTCATTCTAGGATTTATTTGAAGATCACGTCTTGACATTGACAATCTGGTAGTGAATACTCTGGTTTTAGGCAAATATTAGCATCCTATTCATGTTAAAATCAACAGGATATAGGTTTGTATGTATTTGACTGTTTTGATAATATACATGGACAGGGAAGAAGACAAGGATCTATTGAAGCGTTGTGCATACATATATGTACAGTACATGTACATATGAATGATCAGATGTACATGTACATGATTACATTGAGATGCAATGTAAACAAAACGTGCACGGCATGCGAACTACATGTACATGTATGAATAATGAACATCATTGTAATGTAAAAGAAAAGATTTTCTTCTTACAAAGAACCCATATCAGTCAGATCCATTATTTACTCTCAAACATTTTGTTTCCTGTTGAAAAATGAAGAGAAAAAAGAAAGAAAGACAAAAATGAATTCTTATTTATGTACATGTACATGTACATGTGACATCCAGAAAGTATCCATTATTTTGCACATTATCAATTTTATCAAGCTTTTCTTCCAAGGTTGATTTCCTTTTTTTGTTGTCATGTGTGATTTGTGTTACATGTACCTGTACATTGTATTTGTTATAAAATGAAAGAAGTGCATGCATGAGAGCAATGTTTTGTTGGTCATATGTTGAACATTTAGCTTTTTTATTTTGATGTGGTATTGGCAAATTGTGAAGCTTGTAAATTTGTTTACTTGTTTTCTTGTTGAATAGTAAACATGTATAGAGCTTTGCCTCTCCATTTTCGTTTCATATGGAATACATGTTTGTTTTCGAAATGGCATTCCCTTCTGATTATACTCATTTTTTTGTGACTTACAATTAGATAGAGCTTGCTACATCGTATCGGTTGATTGTGTAGAAATATAGATACATTCATGCTGGGTTTGCATGTGGCAGTGTCTCAAAACTTATTTTTCTTTGCATTTTCTTCAGCCTTGTTTAAAAAAATGATGCTTTTCCTCACTTCCTATTAGAAAGAAAAAAAAAGGTCAAGAAAGATTTTTCAAGCCTCCATCTCTGTTTTGCTTTCTTTCTCTATCTATCGCTGCAGGACATATGCTCCAAAGTGTGCTGCGTGTATCGAGCCCATAACACCGGTAAGAACTAAAGCAATCTGCTTCATCTTTCTCTTTTATCCCCTTTTTTCCCCTTTTTATCTGCTTTCTTTCCTTCTTCATATTTCTTTTTGAAGAAATTGATTTGTGAGCTCTTCATTATTGTATGGATGATTTAGTTTTACACTCTCTCACATTTCATGCCTCTCTCTCTCGCTCTCTCTCTCTCTCTCTCTCTCTCTCTTTAAATTTGCTCTCTAAATTCTCTCTCACTAAATCACTATGTACATGTACATGTATCAACTATCATTCTTTTATTGGGATTCCTTATGTACAGGAGTCACAGGACATGAAGCTGAAATTAATGTCTTCTTATTATCTAAAATTTTGCAAATCTAGCAGAAAGGAAAAAGCGGTGCTAGAAGTCATTTTCATAATAAACCTCTGTTGGTCGAAGCATGTAGAATTATGCCAAAAACAAAATCAATGCCAAATTAAAATTTTTGTTGATGTTCTTTTGATCTTGAAGCCTTGTGAGTGCAACAGGTAATTTGTATTGAATATTTTCACATGATTGCACATATATCACCTGACCATGTAATAAGAACTTAATACTAATCTGTATTTTCCTTTTAAATGTTTGCCATACGTAGTATTTACATTGTAGACATTCACACACACAAAAAGGTTTTTTTTATCATAATTCTTAACTTTGAATTTTGAATTGTCAAAGTAAGGGGGCTAATGCTACAGTAGTTAGTCTCAATAGATATAAATAGCATCTTGCACCAAACACCTACATATGTACTTCATGTACATTCCAAAGAAATGCTCAATCTTGCAGGGCTTCACACTAGCAGGTGCCCATAATACATTGGCACTCAAAATCTAACTCTGGAACCCACCCCCCCCCCCCCCCCCCCCCCAAAAAAAAAAAAAAAAAAAAAAAATCAACAACAAAAAATCAACAAAAAATCAACAAAACAAAAAAAATCAAAAATTTTAAAGTAGAGCCCATACACATAGAATTTATGAATTTAAATCCAGACCCCTTCCAAACAAAAATTGTGGAGCCCTGATCTGCAGGCATTTTTAGACTAATCCAAATTTCCTAAATTTTCCTATCATGACAATGTTTGATTGATTGTGCACAAGTGTTATTGATTCTTGTGATCTTTACAAGTCTGTATGCACTTCCTTGTCCCATTTGGTATTAAAACACATTTTACACAATTTTCTGTTTTAATCACTAATGTTTTTCTACATGTATGCTATTAGTTATGTTTTCATCTTCACAGTATATCCAGATATATGCAGATGCTAGATACCATTTCATACAATTTAGAAAGTTTAGTACTGTATTCATGTACAATGTACTAGTAATATTTCTGCTTCTGCACAACTTCCTTGTATTCTGACAACAAAGGGGTTTCCCTCTCTATACATGTACATGTATATTGACAATCATCAATACCTTCAACACTTGTACACATTACATAGGTGTTATACTGTCTATAAAGCAGTATGTTTCTCATTGCCACCAGCTAACAGGCCTTTCCTTATTCCAAACCTCCCCTGCTCTCAGAAACTCTTTCAAAATCCATTCTGAATAGACCAGATTCCTGAGAATCTATTCACTTCTCTCTCTTTCTTTTCCTACTCTCCCCACAGGGCACAATGGAAACCGTGAGAGTCGTGTCCATGGATAAAGACTTCCACGTTGAATGCTACCGCTGTCATGTAAGTAGTAGTCTACTTCAGAAACCCTATTGTTAAAGTTAAGCTCCCAAAGGGATTTGGGGGGCTTTTGTGTGTAGTTGCTAGTGTTGACTCGGTGAGTGGGTGGCAGTGAGTAGGTGGAATTAGCCCTAACTTCCGGTGGGAGGAGTTCTCCTTTTCGTTGACAATTGGTCTATTAAACCGAGTATGGAACCTGTCTACTCACACTGCCCTAATTTCCCCTCATACAACAGAAGGCTTTGAGAGAGGATATAGTCTGGATACTCCAGACTTTCTTTAAATTGTCTAATATAGAACCCTCATTCAACATCATTCAATTTAGGCTAATTTACATCCAATTACGTCACTTCATTACTATTCAGAAGCTAGTTTTTACCCAGATGGTCCTGCTCCCTGCCAATACTAAATAGAGAAAGAGAGGTAAAGAGAGAGAGAGACCGAGAGAGAGAGAGAGACAGACAGACAGCGGGTTTGAAATAATATTTCGTCACCATGCATTACTCTCTCTCTCTCTCTCTCTCCAAGAAATCTTACAGCCTGGTGCAAACACTCCCATGAGACATGTGTTTTAAAAGGAAAATAAAAATGTTTGAAGTTTGAACACATATACAATGGAGATGTTTTAAAAGAAAAAGTAAAATGAATGATTACAATTACCTGCCAAAGGCCCCTTTTTGTTTGTATTGTGGGTTGTGCAAGAGGCAAGTTCAACAGGAGCAACAAATATGAAAGCTTTTCTAACTTTGTGAATACTCTGTACAACTGCTGGGATGTTAAAAAGAAAATGGGAGACTTATTTGGACTTTGAACTAATATATGTTCTTGTAAAAAGAGAAAAGGCAACCCTATGTCACAGATAAATTCATAGCATTGATAATAGATTTAGCCTTTCGGTAGACCATAGTATGGCAAGATATATGTAAAAGAGAAAAGTGCCTCAAACATGTGTATTGCATGTCCTGTTTGATAAGCTACAAGCATCCACTGTTTGAACAATATTATGCCAAACAGTGCAATGGAAGCCAGTAGTTCATGACCACATCATTATATCCAAAGCGCTTCACAAAAGCATCCAAACCTTTTCCCATTCTTCATATTTTCATGGGTGATTGGCTCCCACATGGGGGGATAGATTGGTTCTTTCATATTCCATTCATGTGTGTTGTAACAATGAAAAGAGGCAATTTTTTATCCTTGGCAAAATGTTATTTATGGAAGATTTATATCCTGTTCTACAGAGTACTTTTACAGAAAAATGTACATGTATGAAGGTTTATGTTTACAAATTTCAATAATAATCCCATATTACCAAAACATTGTTTTCCTATAAAATTTTGAAATGAAGGTGTACCAATGCAGATTGAAATGCATGTACTAGAATGGGTCTCTAATCTACCTCTAACATTAAAGTGGGACTGCACTACTTGTAGCTACTTGCACCCTCTATATAGCCAACAATGCCTAAGCGGTATCTGTTGACCCCCCAGGCTCCCCTTTTTCTTATGTTACTTGAGAGCTGATTAGATGAGATAACCACCTGCCTAATCCCCTGGCCAAAAGAGTGCAGATAGGCTTTAAGTAGATTTAACAAATTAAAAAAAAGAGAAAAGTCTTTCGAAGTTCCTCCCAGACTGTAAGTAATTGTAGCAGAGAGATGTATAGAAATGTATATATAGCATGTACAACAAAATGCTTCCGGTTAGATGAAGAATTGATTAAGCCTATTAAACCATTTCATGTTTTTTTTTTTTTAATGTATTGTATTGTGCAAACTGATCTATATGTGAATATGTTAACATGTACCATCATTGTAAATATGAACAATTGAAAGAGGAAAAATAAATGAATTTAATTATTGAATTAAATTGTATGATACATGATGGCCAAGATGTAGACTCCAGAACATTTTATGTTTTACAATATTTACCTTGTTGTTACGAATATTGATACAGTGATTGTTTTTTATTGCTTTCCCTTTGCAGGACTGTAACCTTCAGTTGTCTGATGATGACGGCCATCGCTGCTACCCACTCACCGATAAACTCCTCTGCTACAATTGCCACATAGCCAGGATAGCCCCCAGCTCTGATCTTAGCCCCGGTCTGAGCTACGCCGGTTCCGGCCCCCTGTCAGAGGAGGACTCCACCGCCGTCTACTCCCCTCAGATCTCCCCCAGCACCACCTACCCGGTAGTCAGCCCCCCTACCTCCCCACCGTCGGCCTCGCCTCACCACGCCCGGGAAGCCTCCTTCTCAGGCAGAGCAACCTATGACCCCTCCGTCAAGTCGGGGTCGCTCCCGTCGGAACCACCGCAGTACACACCCGCTCCTTACAGTGGCGGCAGCAGCAGCACCGGAGGTCAAGTCTACCGTGCCTCTCCACCACCACCATCAGACCCCCCTCCTTACTCCCCTCATGACCCCCTCAAAGCCAGTAACCCACCTCAACCTCAGAAGACGAACACTGGACACTACTCGTACGGTAGCAGACCGGGCCCACAGGTTAGACGCAACGGCCGTCATGATAGCGGTTCACGAGAACAAGAGTCTGTAAATGATACTTCACTAGGTGGCTACCGAGTGACCGACCTGTAATGTAGCATAGCAATCCATATTCCAATCCTCCATAATAATGTGTAGTATTGGTCTGAAACACCCATTTGCAAGAGAGACTGAACTATGAAAACATTTTATATCATTGAAACAGTATTAAATTATTTTGTCAGATCTCAAACGAAGGTTCTCTAGTGATGATATAGTATTTTAAATGTTCGTTATAAGCTTCCATAACATCAAGTTGAATCTATACTATTTGTTGAAAATTAGGCTAAGAAGTGCTTATTAACTTTATATTAAGTTTAGATTATGAACAAAATTATGCTATATAAACTTGGTAGGCTATGAGCTTTATTTACAGTGCTTTACAAGGCAGGTGATATAGAAAAATGATTTACTTCTTTACTACCAGTATGCCATTGTCAGCAAGTTTTTAACACAAGATATTGGTGTCTGATTGGTTTAGATAAAGGTGTCTTATAAATTAAGTGCGTGAATGTGACTAGATGGAAATCAAACGTCAGTTTTATTATCCCACCTCTTACAGCTATGTCTCCTATGCAATGGTGATGATTATTTTTATTCATCTGCCTGAAGGAAGCTAACTACTTCTATCTATAAGAGGCTTATCTTTAGCTTCTTTCTTTGGGAAGATTTTCATTCATATAGCATAGTCGTCATTGCCTATTTTTAACATTGTCGTTCAAACCCAATTGAGCTTAGTTAATAGTGTTTGTCTGCGTTTTTATGAATCATCAAATATATGTACACTGTCTGTATAACAATTCATACATTTTTGTTTCCAGCTAAACACGCATTTGACAGTAATGTTTTGTGTACTCGCATTTCCTTTTAATACATTTTGGATAGTTGTAATGAAGCTAATTTCATTAAAACACAGGTATGTCGGTTCAACAAGCAAGCATTGAAAATGTGTTTTCAATAATCATATGCTGTATGTTTGAATTACACTGAACAGAACTGGAGGTTGAAACTACACGAGTGTGTACAGACCAACGTTATTAGGTAATTCGGGTAGAATGCAAAACCAAAACATAATTCTTAAGATTACTTTGACTGAAGATTGACCGAGCGGGTGATTTTAAATTGATTTGTAATTTCCTAAAAACAGGAGATGGAAGGGAACAATGCAAATATATCTGGTGTGTCTTCTGTACCACAAAAACCAGCAAATTTAATATTAAGAGTATTATATGCTGCCATACTTTGTAAAATAATGAGTGGCAACTGCTACTTTTTTAATGACCAGTATTAATAAATGCTTTTCTGCCTTTAGTACAGGATAAAAACCCTTGATTAAGTGGGTTGAGTTATCGTGAGTCTGCTAGTTCATGGAGCGTGAAGAGTCAACCTCCCGTGATCTTCTCATTTATCTTACAATTTCCATCGTCACATCACATTGATTTCTCATTTTGATTTTGTCAAAGTAAGAGAAGATTAGACAGGTTGACTCTTTGCTCTCCTCGAATCGATGGACTTGGTTAAACCAGATTTAACTGCAGTTGAATATGAAGAATATTGAATAGTGGCTAATAACAGTGTCTTCCAAACAAATGTGAAATATTTTCTTGCATAGTATAGAAAGAAATGAGCTCTCTAGATTTGCTAGTGGAATATATATGAAATTTATAAAAGAATATACTTTTATTGAAGTAAGAAAGAGTGGATTTTTCTTTTTTTTTAGTCTGCCATGAGATGATATCTTTAAAAAGCACTAGTTATGCAAGGGACCGGTCGAGAGGCCATTTCAGAAGAAATCTGCTTCTGTGTATGACGATTATTGTAAGGTGCTTGATATGAGATGTAGAAACTAAATATTTTTATTCGTCTTCCATTATATTTGCTGATAATTATATGGATGGGTAAATCTAAAAATTGAGCTCTTTAGTCAACATATTAGATCAAATGAAACTGTTTAACCATTATACAAAGTATATGTTTCATTATTTTCAAAAGGCAGAAGTTGGCTTGAAAATAGTGATTTTTTTTTCTACAAATTATTTTTATTTATCGATTGATTTTTTTTGTCTGTCCATGTGATGTGATCTATTTTAACTTTAATATCTTTGACAAATTTCTTAAATAATAACTTACGCAAAACCAATCCAAATCATTATGGACTGCCAGCCTGCCAGGTAATGCAAGGAAAAGGAATTCTTTCAAAGAAAATGTGGAGAAAGTTATTTAGAATTATCAAGGAAGGTAATTATCCACCGGTTTTCACTCAAACAAATCAAAACCAATCAACAAGAAAAATCTTAATATTGGTACATGTTCTGGTATTGGAATTAAAATCTTGATCTCACTAATTTGTGAAATTTCTATAAAGTGAGGTTCTTGTGATAGGCATACAATTATGACATTTTAATGCTCAATAATTGCTCTGTGCGAAAGGCCCTCATATTGGTAATATGTTATGTCTAGTATGTTTAACTCTTTTTTAATTTGAACAACTTGGAAATCAATAATTTTCATAGAATTTATGCAAACATCTATCTGTAACGATAGCAACTCTAGTATCTCTGTGTAAATACAAGTTATTTTGCATAAAAGCTTTGTTTTGCCAAACTAGCTGCAGTATTTTATGTAGCTTGCATTCATTTCATGTATTCACCTTAAAGTAGTTCCATGCTTATGTATTCACTACTATTTGTGGCAGCTACCATACTTTAAAGTGTTTTTTTTTATTTGTACATGTGACATTTTAAACTGCTAAGACTCTTTGCTTTGTCTTTGTATTTTTATGATAGAGGTTTTTTTTCTGATTCTGAAACTTGGATGAGAGGTTTTGTAAACATTTTTATGCTTGCTGCTATGTTTTCTTATTCTATCCTATCTAGTGTTGTTTTCTTATGATGACACAAATTATTTGTTTATGTGAGGTTATGCGAGAAAATACTAGTCTTGAAACTCTCTTATTCGGCTTGCATCATTTTTAAAAAATGTTTGACCGAGCAAAAAAAAATATGCTAGAATGAAGGGTTAAATGTTGTTACCTTTACATTGAAGGTTTTGGTAGTATTGAGGAATTGGAAGTTACTGGTTTAGATATATTGACATTTTAATTTTATAACAATCTTCTTATAGCAACATCAGGAATTGTATATGCTATCATTTGATATGATTGTTGGTCCTACATGTATGCTGTTGATCCAATTCACTCAGAAATTGTATGTTTTTTATTAGTTGCTCTGTGTGTAAAACTAGATACATATCTTATGTATACATTTTAAGTCTTGCTAACAATAATCATTTCAATGTCAAGATAACCTGGGTATATTGATGGTCATCTTCAAAATAATTTGTTTGAAAATTTTAATTGTAACAGAAGCATTTAAAGGATTGCTCAGTTGCTTTCAGTGTGGGAATCAATTTCTTTTGGAATTCAGGCAAGATACATACGGAAACATGTTAAGAGTCTGTGTTATGATAATCAATATTCACTGTTTTTTAGACAGAATACCATTTATACAATCATTTTTAAGACGCAGAGTGTTGTCTGTACAATCCAACTTTCAACTGAAATTGATCCTTTTTTTTTGTTCCTTTTTTAATACACAGTTTGCATGTGCTTGTGTACATGTAGAGAAAGCAGTATACAATACAACATTTATAATAATATGCTTTAGTGTTTTGATACTCTGCCTTTTGAGTTATTCTGAATGTTTTAGATTATATTCGAGACTATGCATTTTTATAGATTATCTCATCCATGTTGAACAGTTTAGTGTTGTTTTTTATACTGCTTGAAGATGAGAGTCAACGTTTTGGATATAATATAAATAGTTTTCAGAATGGGCTGCAAAAAAGAGTTAGGGGAAAGATTATGCACATTACCTCGGTTTCAATTCACAATGGGAACTATATTTTTACACCAATAACTTTTAAACTGAGACCTTGAATAGTAGAGCTCACCTTTTTGTGCTATGCACCCTATACTTTTGTTTTTGTTTACCATATTGGAAAATATAGACGTCAATTACGCTTGTGCGGTAACATGATGTGTTTTACATATTCAATGTATTTCATTTTTAAGATTAAGAAATGTAACCATGACAAAATTAGTATTACTGTTGTACGGTTAAGAGTGGGTTCTTTTAAACTAAATCATGCTGTCTAAACATATTTTATTGATTTTAAGGAATGGTGATTAATTAGGTCAGTGAAGGGAAGTCCTTGTACTGATCTTGATTAAAACTCTTTATTTTAACAATCATTGGTGAGATTATATAACGTTATATGGAATTAAAAAGCTGAAACCGATTTTATATGTGTTTCTGAGGCATTATGCATGCAAAGCAGTGACAAGTTTTTTAAAATTATTATTCTTTCTCTACTTTACCCGTCATTTTTGGTAACAATCAAATAGAAACTTGGGAATTTCGTAGTTGACAAAAATTTCAAATGTACTTTTCAGAACATTAATAAATGGTGTTGTATATATATAAGATATTGAACAAACTCTTGGAATAAACTTGTTTCTCTTAACCGTTTGTATTCAGAATTAAACATAGTGTACATAACTTTTAGATGAAAAAGTACTGATCTTTGACATGTACTGGTATTGCTTACCATTTTGTATTACGAATAAAACCTGGACGTATCAAGAAAACATGCTCCATTTGTCACTTATTGTCACCATCCGTTTTTTGTACGTCCCTATAAACAAGCCGTGTGTTGTTGTTTTTGTGTACAAAAACCATTTTTGGTTTTCTTTAATTCCTTATAATGATATATACATCTTCACATTTTCAGCATTTGCCTTCATTTCTGGAGGGATATACATGGTTTTCTACATGAAATATTTTCTTCTGTGTGAAGAAGTCTCTGTTTTGTTCCTTTCTTTTTAAAATCTTTTCCAACAAAGCTTTTGTAAATAGTGAAAAGTGCATTATTCAAAATAAATTCAACATATTTTTCCTTCTTTGAATCAAATTCAATACCAAACAATAAATTACATGGTTTAGACATAGAATATTGCTATGAACTAGCTGTTGGATTATACCGCTTTTGTTGGAATAATCAGGAATATATCGCGTCTTGATCAATCTCGTTTCGTTTGTATTGGTCTGCATGCACAACATTGAAGCAACAATATTATGTAACATTTTGACATGGTCATCAAAGGTTATTTAGATGACAAACCACCCAAGTCAGTTTCAAGGACTATATCGACTTTTTGATGGAAAAAAAATTGGCTTATTTTCAGGAACAATACCTAATATTCTAGAATATATTACAGTAGCTATTACAGTATTAGTAGCGTAGTGTGGCGAAAATTAGTTTGTTTGCCCCCCCCCCCCCCCCCCCCCCGACAAAGCAACATTGACGGTGCCCCACTGAAATCTAGTTAAGGATGGTCTTTATATTTTCTTTCATTTTTATTTTTAAATGATCTAAGCATTAATTGAGATGTGCTTGTCGACAAAGCAACATGCGGAATATTTGTATCCACTGAAATCGAGTTGGCCAAACCGCGAGATGCTCTGAGTAGCGCCCTCTCAAGTCGATCAACTTATATATAGTTAATCCGATGTGATAGAGGGCACGTAGTAGTACTTAGTAAGTGGATGTATTGCCCATTTGTTATAAAAACCTACTCGTTTTCATGCTAATGATGGAAAGTTAAGCAATATCTTTTATTAATTTGTATACTCTAATCCCTTTTCGACGATATTCATTGTTATCGTGACACAGTTTAATTTCTACTCAACAAATTAATTATACCCTTGAATGAAATAGATATTGGTAATGCTGGTATATTTTATGCTATAAATCGTATTGAAGAATGTATAGGCTTACTCAGTTGACCCGACTTAAATGATATATTGCCATGCTTATTACAAAATACAATAATTATGGTATGTTAGGACACACGCGTGTAGAATGCAAGTGCCGACCACAACGAAAATAATATGGTCCAGTGGCTATAGGAAGGAGACCTGAAACCTTCGCATTTTGAAAGGTTTCGGAGGTATTGACAACTTTTCTTCTTTCTTATCCCTGTTCGATGGCTTGTCCGAAACGGCCTCAATTCTTATTGACAATGGAATACCACCAGGAGCTTTTATGGGTTCAATAAAGAAACATGCCTACACGAGCATCATTATCTCCTCCAAACACGCCCTTTTAGTATGCGACTTCGCCCTTTCGGATTGCCCCTACATTTTCATGTAAGTATATTATTTCACATCGGCAAGAACAGTTTCTATCATACCATATCGATTGCAACTTTAGTAGCGGTACGTCCGGTTTACAAAGCCTATCTATCACGTTCGCATTTTCCGTGCGATATACATTGTTATCATAATGTTTTGATTGGCTCGCATTGTATGCGGAAATAGAGATCATTGCATGTCATTGTGCAGTTTTTCCATAACGTGCAAACGACGCGAAGGGCGAGGTTGAATAATTCGTAACTTTGGATTTGGACTTGGATTTGGATTTGAGCTGGAACAACTGTCTTTTCGTGAGTACCTGCTTGATATTATTTTGATTTCAGTATTTAATAGGGACAAGGTACATGTATAGTGGACCTAGGGCGGAGTACGATGGCGTATCCAGGCACACATTTATAAATGGGGGTGTATACCTCCTCAGATGGGAGCGTTATGTGTATCAAACGCAATCGCAAAGACTTTCGAAAAATCAGCCTAAGGGAATCACAAGTAATAGCCTCGTCGACCACTTTTTTATAGTCATCTGACCTAAATTTCTATACAATGTATGGTATTCAATTGCCTTTGTATATGCTTGTGTCCATAATCTTGAAAGTACCATTCGCGATCGTGTCCCTTGCAGTAATTCAAAGGGAGCCAGGGAGGGGGCGGGCGTACCCCTTATGCTTGATACACGAGTGTAAAACACATAGGGGCTGTGTTCCCTCCCCCCCCCCCCCTCAATACCAGAAAACCACATTATTACCAGGGATTTTCCAAAGTGTTTCTTGATTACCATTTGTTGTGGGTAGGCAAATGCCCTTTTATAACCATCATGACCATGGCCAATATTGATTTGGCCAGAAACAACGTTGATAATAAGTTTGGACTTTACGCACAAGAGGTCAAATTTATTATCCATGTTTGAAGTCTTATCATTTATACACGGTGATCATCAGTCGACGGGCCCAATTCTACGGCTTTGTCAACATGGCCAACTAGCTTTTGAGTCTCTAATCTTTACCAGATCCTGACCATAAATTCGACGTCATATAACTATGTTATGTATGGTTAATCACTAACTCTATGACAACTTTAACCTCGTCTTTTCGTCAATTCTAATAATCGAAACCCTACTCAGTAAACCATCTGTATGTATTTATGTTCCTGTATAGTCCAAACTTATTATCAACGTTGTTTCGGACCAAATCAATATTGGCGATGGTCATGATGGTTATAAAAGGGCCTACCCACAACAAACGGTAACCAAGAAACACTTTGGAAAATCCCTTGACGGTCCAAAAGTGATTTCCGTGAATGGTAACGGGTCCGAAACAATGGGCAAATGTTGTTTCATCGTCGTCGTCGTCGTACGAGTCATGACTGACCCTTTGTGACCCTATTGATGATGACGTTCCAACTATTTCTATCCTGGGCATAGTGATTAGCTGTGCAGATGTTCATGTCAGTAATATCTTTGTTTTCCGTCAGCCCATCGAACTTTTGGCCCAACACTTTTTCGTTGACCTTCAACATGACCTCATAAATGAATGTGTCCGAAATACTGCAACTTGTTCTTATCGTTCTTATGGCATAAGATGACCTTCGCTCCAATTTGGTTCTTGACAAAATCACTGTTTTCGATTTATGAGCCTTCCAGGATATCCACAACATCCTCCTCGAAACCACACTTCGAAAGCGTTGATTTTCTTTCTATCTGCTGCTCCAGGAGCCCATGTCTCTGCATGACCCATCACGACTGGAACGACCAAAACAATCATCATATGAATCTTGGTGTTCCTTGAGATCCCTCTGTCTTTCCAGATGTCAGTAAGGCTTATATATAGCAGATGATCTAGCCATGACGAGACGTCGTTTTATTTCTTGTGAGCTTCCATCATTGCACCATCCCCAATCATTAATTTAAAATTTAGTTTACTTCATCAATTACATTTGTATATGTGATATAATACATACTTGCCTTCACACGAACCTTAATTTCAAGAATTAAGCAAATCAAAAGTAAAAGTTCAGGTGTGCATGTAGGGTATATCAGCCCCACCCCAAACAATCTACTACTAATGTACATTAATCTTAATCGTACTTGTATAATGAAGAAAGTTCCGAAAGCTAGTCTTGTTTTACATGTTTGTGGTCGATATCTGATCTAAGGGAAATTGATTTTTGACGCTAAGCAGTACCAGGTATCCTTTGGTCAAAATTTATAAATTTGGTATCAAAAGATATAGGCAGCCTTGTGGATTCTACTCCCGACCCGACCGCGGTCCGGATGCAGAGGCGGTCCGGACTTTGCCCTGCACTGAAGAGCATTCATGTTGTTAGTTCAGGAGGGAATGGGCATTATAACTCTACATGTTTTTACAATAAAAAACCTTCAAATTTAAATCAACACGTTATAATAATTTGCAGGTTCTAGTGCTCCTATCCTCGTAACTTCTTCGGTGATAATGATATATTTTTATTAGGACATCTCCCCCAGAATTGTGTTATTCATTATTGTATTGCGGGGCTGTATATTATTTTATCTATTCATTCTTCCACAACGACATGTGTATTTGATATCAGGTGACGGGTAACCAAACAATAGAATGCTGTGAACGACATTGAAACCATAACATTTTCTCGAAGAAAACATGTTATGGAAGTCAACCGAACTTTTAATTAGTTCATGGCTGCCTACAAGAGTACCATGTGTATTGTACTACTGTGTTTCTCATCTCTTTATTATATAGACCTCCCCATTTAATTTAACTATCAGGTCTTATTCAGTTAGCGACTGAATTTCATATGAAATTGCATTGCATGGTTAGAAAATTAATTAGCCATTGAATGAAGAAACACGATAATATATAACCATGCCCTGCTATAGAAAATGAAATGTAAATCTTTATGACCATCATAACTAGAAACTTGAAACTGGAAACATGATATATGATTCATCCTAACCTTTGTGATCATAACAATCATTAATACAAACACCAGTGAGTGGTATATAATTTTCACAGCTGGCATTTGCATCATGTCATTTATCATGTCATTTCTCATGTCATTTATCATGTCATGACAAAAAGGAGCAGACTAGGATTTTGTCAAAGAGGGGGCACAATATTTCTAAATTTTCAGACAAGGGAAAAGAAGAAGAAACTTAAAGAGAACAAGAAGCAAAGATCATCACCTGAAACAGGAGGGGAGGGGCGCTCTCGGAGATTGTACTTTAAGTATGCCACTTGAGTTTTAATTGAGAAAAGGGGAATGGGCACATGCCCCCCACAATGTGCCAGTCTTTGCAGACAATCGTGAGATATGATCAACTGATATCATTTGAAAGGGCAACTGCGGAAGTCCAAGCCCAAGCTTTTATTTCCATATATGGGCGTAAGATATCCGGGGAGAGGAAACTCTGGTCGTGCAGGAGATAACATACTGTACAAGTAGACAATAAATGTTCATGAAATGAAAATCAGCAATATTATCTCATACTCTGTCTGTTATTATGCTATAGTGCTTATCTTAAAAGTTGAAGGAAAGGTAAAATGGAGTTATGTTGTGAGGGGAAATCTAGATTATCCCACAAAGAAAGTGACTAGATGTGATATAGACTACATTAATGACATCTGCCGATAAAGAATTCGTTAGAAGTTATAAACCTGGTATTGTAGCTTGCGATAATCAGGATAATGATTTTAGAATATGACTGAGTACTTTGGCCCTGTCGTCAGAAAAAAAATGTATTTATGTGAATCTTGTATAATCATAAGAATTTTAATGAATTGATAATAATTGACAATTAATTATTATTATTATTTGTTTTATATTCAAATTCTAATTATTAATTACACATCCCTTAGATATACAATGTTTGCAGGAAGTAAAATATTTAAGAGAAATTAACAAATGGTCCAAATTATGAAAAAAGATTACACTGAATCAGATGAGTGGATGTAAGGGTGTAGCAAAGGCAATTGACCTGTCAATTTATTTTTTTATTTATTTAAAGCTACGGTCACAAAGGTTCGTACGATCGATGCGTTTGTACGAATCTCCCTCTTTTTCCATTGTCTTCCCGAATTTCCATTGTCTGAAAATCGTTCGTACTGCGTTCGTAGCAGTTTGTAATGGCATTTGTGACCAAGGCTTAACGTTGCTCCTCATATTAACAGTCATCATTGTCACAAGCAAAACAAATTACTGTATAAAAACGAAAAATAACAACAATGTAAAATGAATGAAAATAATAGTAATAACAATAATAATAATGATAATATTTAGCTAATGAAAACATAGTATATTTCTATATGCCTATTCCTAGCAATCTTTTTCTGCCTAAATTGAATAGGTTTATACATGAACGTTACGTTTTCCAATTCCAGAATATTTTCGTACAGTCGGGGAAATAATCGTACAGCGCTAAGAAACATGACAATTATTCACTATATAAATATTACTTTAAGTATTATCATTACAAACTGTTATGGTTGCTTTATTTTTCAATTCAAGTCACTTAGGTAAATGTTTATACGTAAAAGTCTTTATTAAATCCAGTCAGGAGTCGATTGCTAGCAGGAAGTTGGTATAAGTGTAATTGAGTAAAATTAGGTATAATTTATGATCAACTTCTAATTTCAAAAGGAAGTACGCGCTTTGTTTGTAATAAGTAAAATAGTAATAAGAGACTGCTTGACCAAACTAAAGTAGTTGATTTATTCAGTCGTGGGAACTTCTACAGCATGAACCACCCAACACTTTGTCTGTATTTTAATTTTAATCATCGTTTCCTTGTTGATAAAGCCTGTTATTAATTACATTCAAGGCCTTTTGTAAAGCAGTCGATATCCTCAATAAATAGCCTGTATTCAAATTTCAAGCGAAACCGAAAGTGATTGGCTCGTTTTGAAGGCATATGCTATTATTCATACTTAATACAACTGTAGGCCTATACGTGTTAACCCGAACAAAATCAAAGTCCGTCGTTTGTATCGTTTTTTTTTAGGTGAAAAAAGAAAGGAGAAAAAGGAGGACGCCCTTAACAAAACCAGAAAAGTAAAAAATAGAAAGCATGTCCGTAGGATTTGAGTGACTTGCTATTATGAAAAAGGAAATCGACCAATTACAAAATTATTGGCACATTAATAGGATTTGAAAGCAATGGGGCTCCAGGAAGATGGGGAAAGGGAATAGGGGAGGGGAGGGGAGGGGTTATGCGCCCCACCCACTTGTCGATACCTTCACTCGGCTTTTGAACAAACGTTTATGAAGGCGGTTTTTCGATTGAAAATCTCTGTTTATATACATATATAAATGTGTATATATAAAATAGAGAAAAAATACATCTATATAGGCCCTTTATGTATCAGTGTATGTGTGTATATTAAACATGTTTTGTCAGCTGCTACTATTTCGATGACGACGAATACAAATGATACTCCTCCCCTCCTACTCCTCCTTCTACTACTACTACTACTACTACTACAATTTTACTACTACTTTCAATGCTATTATTCTACAACTACTACCAGTACCACTCTTCTTGACAAACACACACTTTTACCATGTTAAATACACAACGAGATAGACGCAGAAAGAGTGGTGAGGATCTATAGAGAATAAGCAGAAAGTTACCACTTCCCTCTGCTGATGATTCGACGAGGTGTTAGGAATTTTAGTCGACATTATAATGATGATGATATTAGATCAGATATGTGGAGGAAATAGGAATGTATCTGTCATCTGCCCCTACTCAAAATGTCGCCCCCTTTGCCTTGTTTCGATAAGTCCCCGTAAACGTATCCCACACGATAGCTACGCACACGCATCATCTTGGGTTTAGAGCAGTTCAAAATCAAGTTGCGTTGCTTTGCTTTGATTAAAAATATTTGAAAAGACAATCATAATGGAGTCGTAATTTATGGCCTACCATTTTTGGCAAAAAAAGAGAAAACCGGATTCGATGATGAAATTCTATTCATGGCCATACTGTATTGTTGGTATTTCTAAATTTTGGTGGTAGGCATATTCAATTCTTGTTATCATCGAAGCTTAATAATAATTCGATTTCAATGTCACCTGACGACCTCGGAATTCTGCTTGTTTCAATCGAAAATTGCTGGTTTATTTAGAGGGCGAGTGATAATTTGTTGTTGTTGAAAAAACCATCAACTTTAGACGTTTAAATAGCATGCAAGTAGATTTAACATTTAATTAATCATCATGTCCTCAGTTAGCATGTGAAGTGTCATATAATGTCAAGAAGATAGTACCCTTCCATACAATTTTGGCCTGAGAAAGAGACTACCACGCATGCGTCTCTGGCCGGGTTGGCCCATTTGCATAAGATTATCTCGCATGGAAGAGAAATTGGAGGGAATGATATGAAACACACCGTAATGAGATTCTTTACCGCTGAACGAGCAGGGGAGTGTAGTGGGTTTGGTGCGGCGAGGAAGCGAGAGCGATCGAAAGCGAGCTAGCCGTGAGGATAGTGCGGTAGCGTGTATGAGATCGAGAGAGAGAGAGAGAGTCAGAGATACTCGCAGGTTCACGAGGAGACTATATATCGCGGTCCAGCAACCACTTCTAGTTGGGGTTTAAATGATTTTCGTCAGTTCATGATCATCTTCAAGCCTTCACCGCTCCAGAAGTGAAGTTCTAGGTGAGCCTCTCTGCACTGAGCCGCTGAAAGCGATTTGTAAGGAGTGCAGACTACCACCAATAGTCATCATTGATTCGGGTGCTTTTTCCTCGAAATCTGCATCTTTTCTGCATCCATGGAACAAATTCGGTGAGAAATTCTGTGATAATGTTTGGATTGCCAACTATATATAGGACAGCCCTTGAGGTAAATGCCATCTCTTTGCTTTTGGAGTGAAATGGCGTAAAAGGGAGTCTCATATCGTATCATGGAGTGACTTTGTGGCGGAAAATACCTGCGTTACATTTGAGAGCAAAGATGCATTTTTCCGGCTTGACATTAGTTCGCCTTTGACCAGTACAGCACATCTGGGGCAGACTTACGAGAAATCTCCAGGCTGAAGCGTAGCGTCGCGTGTATGACCGTCGTCCGTAGCTAGCTCAGCGACCTCGGTGTATGGGAGTGCCACGCACAGCTTTCTCGCTTTGATTATTTTATTTTCTCCCAGTCGCGCCAGCCCAAACCACCAGTTAGAGTCAATTCGGAGCATGGTTACTGTCTGTGCATCAGTGGGCCCTGTTTGGAATGTATGGATGTACTTGGAGAGGGAGTAACAGAGCTCCAGCTGGATAGCTTTCATACTAGGAGTTCTACATCTACCGGAGACAACAGCGAGAGACCGCTCATATGCCATGCTCATGTGAAAGGCGATTGTCCCAATACGGCATCCAGGCGCTACACATAGCCGCCATTGTTGTAAGAAATCGTGTGTCAGTGGCCACCATACTACTACGGCCGATGTAATTGCGAGTGTGTAGACGTCACTAGGGGAGCTAGCTAGCTTGTACACAGCCCAAACTCCGTTCACCGCTACGAGTGTGTATAGCCGCATAGGCTTGCATATAACGCACGCATCTTATATATACACACACGTCATACGAACTCGGCACGCCCGAATGCGAAAGAAAAAAGAAGGGGTAAAAAAGGAAAGACCCTAATATCAGCGTATTTAAAATTACACACATTTTCTGAGGATTATTTCTCTTTTTTGTTCTCTTGTACATTTTTTCCATGATTAGGAGAATCTGTTGATTTGTGAAGCCGTGTTTGGGTTTCTTGAAGGCACGGTTGGCCTGGAAGGAGGGGTGAAGATGGGGTGTGCCATGAGTTCAGAAGAAAGAGAGTCTCAGGAAAGGAGTAAACAGATTGACAAAAATTTGAAGGAAGATGGTCTTCAGGCCGCGAGGGATGTCAAGCTTCTTTTATTAGGTAAGATCAAGCTATTTTTCTTTCCTTTACCAGTTACCATCAACTACCAAATTCTCCGATAAGAAGAAAAAACACCTTTCGGAATGTAAAAGGAACTAGTGGTAACTGAGTTTTAAAAGATAGTCTATCATGGCGGGGCAAATAGAAATATCTTTTTGAATTAATGAAATACAATTATTAGCATTAGTGGTAGAAGTATTAGTATTTCATTTTAATTGTAGTTGTAGTAGTAGTACATTGTAGTAGTAGTTTATTTTAATTCACTATCTACTCATTTTAAGAGAGTTATCAAATCCTAATGTTTGTATAATGTCCTTACAATATATGTGTATACTATGTGTGTATGTATATGTATACAGTATATAGCATATATATATTTATTCATTTATGTGCAGATTTACACATGAACACACTGTGGTTATCTTGACCACACTACATGAATACATTCAACACCTGTTTAGCATTAGCATAGCGTTACCATAATGTGAACTCGATGTGAACAAGGTGTGCTCTTTCACCACTCACTGTGCCACACGCTGGTTAATTTAGTATGGTGACAGTGTGAACAGTATGTGGTCATCTGATAATGTCAAAATTACATGAAAGAGTTCCAAGTCCACTTTAAAGCTTTCACTCACACTTTATTGTTCCTCTTGCCATTGTATGTATCACTGTGAATAATCTTCTACACACAGTGTGGTAATATTATTAAAACTACATAAATGTGTTTCTAAATTCACCCACAGTCAAAGTTGGATGATTACACACTGACTTTTTCGCTCTTAATATATTTTTACCTCCCTGATTATAACACCGTGAGACTTGGAAAACAATGTGAATAGAGTGTGTTCATACACTGTATGAGCATGATTATCAACACTACGTGATAGGCTTTCAAATCCACTTTGTGTCAACATTGTGATAATATGTATGCACTGTGATTGTCTCTTAGCACAGCGTATTCAATGAGTATCACACTGGTTAACATGGCGTGAACACAGTTTGAGTAAAGTAAACGTTGCATGGGGAGTTCCAATGAACATCACACTGCAATGTGTATTACATTGTATATATAATGTAAGGTAATTGTCCATCCCTTTTGAAACATGCGAAGATAACAACGACATAATGTATAACCCGTTTGATTTTTTTGGTAGTAGTTGAAATTCTTTGTGATTATGTGGCACTGTGACTGTTCTGTGTCTGCAGTGTAGACATAGCATGAACGCAGTGTGGTAAAATCACCACTACATTGAGTTTCAAATGCACTCGACCGTATGATCATGATGTGTTTTTTGTATAATCTGTGATTTTTTTCTTTCTGTTGCCACCCTTCATCGCACACTTTTACACACTGTGGACACACTGTTTTCATATATATATATATATATATATTATATATACCACACTAAATGCATTTCATGTTATCTAGTATGAGCCATGTTTAATAAAGCCTTTTGATTGTTCGTAAGGTTGATATTGAGCGTCAGTCAATGGCTCATCATGTATTGATCACACTTAAGATCAATCATAACTCTTTATAATACCCGACCATGGTCACACATAAATGAGGTTAACTCTGTAGACCCAACTTAACACTGTGTTACACATTGTAATATGACCATAATGTGACCATAGTATGAAAGGATAACTTTTACAACCACTTTATGGCCATACCTTGATGCGGGTATGTTAATTTTTACCACATTACATAGAAATAGATGTAGTTAACCTAACATGGACACATAAATGCATTTCACATTTTCTGTCTATTCACACGGGAACCTAATACAGCCTGATTCTGACAATTTACACACTTTATTAAACAGATACTGGTGTTTTAAACAGTAAACACTAAACACTATTACAAAGGCTTTCGAAAATCAATCTCGAGTAATAATAGCCTTGTACACCACCTACATGTATAGAAATGCGTGAACCTTACAATGACATATTACGCAATAAGAACATGGATTCGTTAGAATATTTATGAGGGTATTGCAATTACTCTTTAGTTGATGCATTATTATTTGTGATCCCATACACTGTGAAAGTGTACCAAATTTCTTTATGTTATCATTGTACACTACATAAAACTGTAATTTTGAGGCAGGTTGATAATTATAGGCAAAATTCATGCCAGTGTTCATTGAAAAGAGAAATTGAGATCAATATGGCGTTATTTTTGGAGCGCGGGTAGTTAAATCCCCCCCCCCCCCCATAATATCGGGTTCATTATGTTCTTCGTACTTTATTTACTTTGTCACACTCCCCTCTTGAAGATTTACAGATGCCCCTGAACAGAAATTAAACGCATGTCAATTATTTTGTCCTCCACCACGATGCTTCAATTTTGTATTAATGTTGGTACACATACATGTATACTCATTCTTTTTAACATGTTAAAAGTACAGTTAATAGTACATCGGACAAGAGCGGGTCCGGAATCTGTTTGGTGGTGCGCAAGTCGGGACAATCTCTGATAAGCCCCCCCCCCCCTTATTAAAAACAGGGTCGAGGTCAACAATATCTTACAAGAAAAGGTATTATGAAGAAGAAAACTATGAAGAAAACAAGACAGTAATGATGTTAAAGATGATGGTTGATGATAATGATGATGATTATGATGGTTCTATTTACCTGTATACCATGTAACCGATCTTGTTATGTGTTTCTTCAAATGACAAAGACAACAGCGGTTCTTTAATGAAAAAAGCAAGTAGTAAATACCGATAATCGTCATTAAACCTCATGACGGTTCCTGTATTGAGGATGTTGTTAATCAGTCCTATATTCAGGTGGGAATTATTAGTTCGTGGATACAAACCTCGTGACTAAGGGATAATAATGGCTTCTCAGTTTTCAATGCCGTGTATCAGGAAAAAGGGGTAAGTTTTGGCGGAAAGTATCATTCTGCAGTCTTATATGTGAAACGAGAAAAAAATCTGGCATTTTCATACGATCAGATTTTGTTGGGTTGCTATTATTAGTAGTAGTGTTGTTAATATTAATATTATTATTATTATCATCAGTATTAATAGTGTCGTTATCGTTATTATTTTCATTATCATCATCATGGTCATCATCAATACAGTAATGTATATTTAACCAAGGAGTCATTAACTCCTTGATTCAACAAGAAAAATGAGACCCCCCTAAAAAGTGTTAGTTAAAAGTATTCAGTCCAATATTACCAACTTGGCACTTCTGTATACGTATCCTGCTAGATTACATTTGAATTTCCCATCTTTCTCGATTAACTATTTTAGTATCAGTAATCTAATCTAATTTGTTAAAAGTCGCTGGCATACATTATTCGGAAAAAGAAACACTCTGGTGTAACGAACATCTTTATGGACACAGTGATATGCGATACCACGGAATAAAGTTTAACGTAATTAGGATTCTTTTTATGGGGTACGGTGTCGTTAAAATAGAACACCAATGGTGGGTTCCAGAAAACCAGATATCGAATAGAAAATGCAGAAAACGAATTCATGAGATGTGAAATATATTCCAGTACTAATGAGTATTCTTGCGCTATCAGAATGAGCGTTTAAAAATAGTTGAAATCGAGACACTTATAAGGAAATGATGATTGAAGAATATCCTTTCAGAAAATTATTTTAATACATTTACTGTATATCAAATGAATACAGGTTAAGACAGAAAGTGGCTGCGGTCATCCCCATTTTGCTCTTAAAGCTCGTTTTGTTGGGTACTATCGACTTTTCTAACAATATTTGTCCACCCCTATTCTGATAATCCTGACATAGCATTTGCTAGTAAATTGTTATTAGTTCAAAGATGGTTTATAAGGCCCTATAAATGTTCATGGTAATGTAATTTTCAATAAGCTTCATATTCTATGCTTTTCCGTTGGAAGGTTTTGATGATGAATGAAATAAATTCTAATAAGATAAAGTAATCAAATTTTTAAAAAGATTTAGCTCAGTCTCTTTAATTTTGAAATCGTAAAAAATAATCATTAAAAAGTAATGAAATTATAGTTCATCGACGCGAAAATCAATAATGGTTATTTGCCCTTTAAAATATTGATAATGAAGTCGTCATATTTCACATAGTTTAAAGTAGTCAATTCGTAATTAATAGTGACTCAAGAGAATAATAAAATATGTTTCTTTAAAAGTAAATGATAACATTTTGAGCCCCAAAAGATTCAAAACAGTAAAAAGACACAAACTTACAACAACAAAATTAATCAAATTCATGCTGTTATTTCGTTTTAGATTTCCACTCAACCACTTTTGAATGAAACATGTTGATAACTTCAACGGCACATAATTCCAAATTAACCATGCTTCTATGAAAAATTAATCCATTGTGCTGGAGCATTGATTTATATCAACTTGCTCGGCGGCTCGTACCAGCCTGCGACGTGTAGTCAAAAGTGAATGGTAACTGAAACAATTAAATATCCACTCAACGAATACAAGCGAGTGTGCTGTGTGTGCCCCATGTTTCCCTCTAAATGCCTTCATTATTCAATTACTCTCATGATGAGAATAACGAAGCATAGCCTTCAACCTGTGCTCCGGCTAATGAACACGGCGTGTACACAATCAATAACCCTGAGTTTTTTTATTTTCATCAAATGGATATAGCATTTTATTCCTGAATACCTTATATATAAAGACTAAGTGGTGAGTGTGTGTGTTGGGGAGGGGAGGGGTCTTTTTAGTGTAGATGATTTTGGTATTTATAATTGGAAATTCGGATCAAGTGATCTAGAGTACGTATGTGTGGAATGCTTTATTGAAAATTTGGATCAGGGTATCAACTATCTGGAAATTGGAATAAGGAAATCGGGATAAGGATGTTTGGCATGTTTTTTTTTAACAGTTTGTGTATGTTCTACAGGAAATCAAGATTCCATTTATGTATTTGTGGTGGGTTGTATGGGAAATAGTTATCAGGTCAGATGGGAATGAATGTTTACATATTGTATATATAGGGAGTAGAGATCTTGCGATCGAGGGGTATGGTTGCTAGGTATATTATCAGAAATTAGGATCAGTTGAGAAGGGGCTATTTATTCTATGTATATTTTTTAGAGTTGATAACGGCCAAAATATGGAGATGGGAGGGAGGGGGTATGAGTGTCATTTTGTTTGATTAAAAGTTAATATTATATATATAATAAGTTAATCATGGGTGAGATATAGCATTTGGTAATATTATCATTGTATTGAAAGGAACCAAGTAACGAGGTGGGTATGGGAGATTCATGGGAAATTGGAATATAGGATCAGGATAGAAAGAGGGCGAGAGATACAGACAGCGGGAGTAAGTGAGTTTGCCCTACATGTTTGATTGGTAATTAAAGAGAAAAACGCTTTGTAATATTCAAATTTGCTACTGAAATTGAATTAAGAATGTTCACATGCATTTGTATTAATGTAAATTTCGATATTTGTATGGTTATTATATGTGTTATTCAAAAATGGAGCTACATGTACCGCCAGTTGAATATCAAAATATTCATGTTTACAGGTATATGTGATTTGGATTGTCATATTTTTCCTCCAGCTTTGCTTGTTGTCATTTCCAGAATAATTTAAAGGACATTTTAGGACAGAAAGTATCTCAAATTGATAAAGATGTATACAATCATTTCATTTCTCTTATCGCTTTTTCTCTCTTGATGTGATTAAAGTTAATAATGTAGTACGCTTAATGTATCTGATGTAATGTGATAAAATACATCTTGCATACTCTTTGACCTCAGATGTAAATAGAATGAACTTTTAAATGAACTCTTCATTTTGTTTTGACCTTTCAGGTGCTGGGGAGTCTGGCAAAAGTACAATAGTCAAACAAATGAAGTAAGTATTATTTTGTCTTTTCTACAGTATTACGCTTTTACATAATCAACATGATGTATTACGAAATTATCTTTTTACTACGCTTCGTGTGTACTAGTAATCCTGATTTTTATGTGTGGCAGTTTGACCATACTGTGGAAAACTGTGTCCATAATTTGAACACGGTGTAGACAGTACTTTCACATAACCACCATGATGACATGATTAGCAACCATCTCATTTGTAACACTTTGTGTGTAATGTAATAATAGTAGATGCTCTGCCAAATGGAAGTTTGGCCACAGTGTGGAAAACTGTGCCCATAATCTGAACACGGTGAAGACACTCTTTCACGTTACCGCCAAGATGGCATTATTAAAAACCACCTCCTTTGTAGCACTTTGTGTGTAAAGAAGAAATAGTAGTTAACCTGCCAAAGGGTAGTTTTGGCCACAGTGTGGATAACTGACCACGGTGTGGACAGTTCTTTCACATGGCCAACATGAGTTCATTATTACACATCTCCTTTGCAACACTTGGAGATTAAATATAGTGTGTTGTTATTATTTTTAACAGGAATAGTTGATATTCCCTGCAAAAGATAGTTTGTCCACACTGTAGGAACTGTGTCCATCATCTGAACACAGTAAGAAAACCGCCTATTCAGGTAACCAGCAGTAAGACAGTATACAACATAATCTAATTTAATCTAAATTTCACACATTTTGGGGGTTTAAAATTACCTTCATAGCCATTTTAGGTCTTAAAAGGGCACTATAAATGTCATAAATAAGAATAAGAGCAATAACCATGCACTTTGAAGGCATTTACGGTCTTCAAGAGAAGGTTGAGTTCTGGGAAGAGGTGAAAAATAATTTGTGAGCATTACTCGTTCTTATTATGCAAGTATGGAAGAACATCAGTTAAGACATGTTCCCTGAAGAGCATGGCTCTTCAAATGCCTTCATATTCTAAATATGCATGTAACATCGTAAAAATCGGGAGGGGGCGGCTTTTTACGCCACGTGTTCGTGTAGTCCCATATACATCTTTCTGTGCAAATGTTTGTAACTTTACCAAGACTTGGCCAAATTTGTTATCATTTTGATGATTCCAGAACCTTGCAATACACACAAATTCTTATATGCTAGATGATCGACCTTTTCTGGTCGGTTCCACACCGTTTCTTTCACAATGCAATCGCATGACCAGAACTCAACTTCATCTTTAAACAAAAGTCAAATATCCCTTTAAGCAATCGAGATAGGAATGTAAGTCTGTACTCTTCTCTTGTATCTTATCATGAGCGTTACGCGTTTATAAAAACATGTCGCAGTGTGGCGTGAGTCGATCTACTACATTACAATGAAATGATGGGGTGAATGCAATTTATACTCTTAAAGCGTTCTTCTGAGTTCAACTCTCATCTGCTAATTGTAAAGAAAGTGCGATTCTTCATTATATCCTATCAATTCTGTATTTCACATTTGGCTGAAATGACGCCTCGTGCACCTGTCTGTAAGTGAAAAGTTTCGTATGCAGTTGTTCATCAGATCAAGACTAGCGAACAGTTTCGTATGCGGTAGTTCATCTACGGTAGCGGACAGTCTCGGTTGCAGTTAGTCATCTATATGGTAGCGGATCTCGCCCCCCACATTTTCATGTTACTACGGAGAGGTGCCAATGAGGAGCGTGTTCATTGAGGAACCAATTTAAGTTTGTTAAGCAATCAGGAAAGGAATGTAGGTCTATACCCTCCTGTATCCTAGTAGTACGAGAGTAAGGCTACATGGGGGTCATTTCGAGACGCGTCTTGTACCTTATCTACTACAAAATGGTTTGATCAAGGAGTTATCGGACCCGTATACTCAATAGTTTGCAGTCCTAGGCCCGTAAGGCTCTTTAATCAAGCATTATATTAATACATTTTAATTATCTTTTGACGAAGTTAACTTTTGTTATAGTCAAAATACTTATAACAAGAGAGTTGAACAAGAAATTGTCCCAAGTCCTACTAATTTTATTAGACATTATAGGATTATTAATCTGTTAGGAAGCGGCCAGACTGAGGTCTAATTTCTTTAATTATTAGACAAAGTCTGTAGCACTTTAATTAGTATGGCCCTAACACGCACTCTTCAAGCAAGAAGTGTTATAAATTGAGTTATTCAATGAGCGAAAGCAGTGCATATTCGTCGAAACAGGTTTAATAGTAAGGTTTTGGTTTGCAGGACCTCGCATTCTGACATGTAACTTGTGTGTTCTGACATGATATATTTGTTATCACATTTGTATTCATTGCTATAGATTTCGTTTGCATAAAAATTTGATTTGTGTTGTAGCCTATGCCATAATCGTATGAAATCTTTTATAATTATTATCAAAAGTCTGGAAAGGTGAGTTACCTTTAATGGCCTAATCTCTTATAATATGAGTTGATTAAATCCCCCATTTATCATGTCTTTGATGTCTACGGGTATGTTTTTATAATCCTTGGCTTCGAGAGACTTACTGATTAAATTATATAATCCTTTCGAAATATATAAGAAACGATTGATTTCAGGTAGAACCCGACCACATGAATCTCATAAGCTATTTTCAAATCTAGTAGCAGATTCGCTTTGTAATCGACATGATCAATTTCTTTCCACAGTAAATTATGGATTTATTTCAGCTTAAGTCATAGAGCGCAACATTATAATGTGATTACCTCGCGATTCGGTTTTTTTTAATGCAAATAGGGCTACTACTATAATCTCAAACATCAATTACATATTCGGAATTCATCTGGGAAGCGTGCACTTTGTTAAGTTATTATTCCATTTCATCCACCTGCAGTATTGTCTTTAGAAATATCCTTTTAAAATTGTAGATTCAAATTGTCGGTACCAGGCCCCGTCAAATAAAGAGCTGCTATCAACTATGTATGGCATTTCAAACGTGCGATTGATGTGAGTCGATCGCACCTCTCTTTAAGACGGGGCCCAGGTTATACTCTTTAAATATAAATAGAAAACTTTCTAAAGATCCGAATAGAAGTTTAGGCAAAGATTCGAGCATTTAAATTGGTGATGTCCATTACCATAATTGAACTAATTTATTTAAGAATATAAATAATTGGGACACCTTAACTTGTTGTGGTCATCAAAATTCCGGGTCTGAATATGATTAATTGTAAGGTCAATTGTTGCCTCTGGCACCTCCTGTATTATAATTTGGACATTCGTTAACCTAAATAAATTCTTCATAGTACATGGTAAATTGAGTAGAGATATTTAAAGGGTGCATGAGAAAATGGTTGCTGATTTTTTTTTCTCCCATTTTTCCCATGCATGCAAGAAATTATCATAGTCGCAATATCCCGTGAAAGGATTGTTCTTTAAATGGTCTCGTATTATGGAAATAAATCAATTAAGACGATTGAACGAAATTTTGCCTCATGTAATTGCACCCCCATAAACCCATATTTGCGTATTAAACTGTTCATGTAGTTTTGATTATTTTTTATCATTCCATAATTCCTCAACATTTGAACAATATCTATTTATTATCAAATCAACCATTCCAAAAATCTTGCAAGTCGTTTCTTTCACTAGAGTTAGTTACCCACTGAATTCCTTCCATGTTAAAAAGTAAATGGAGTACATTGTTCTCTCATTATGGAGCTAGGTCCCTTCTCAGGTTTAGGGAATCTTTGCCGTAGCCTTTCTATAAAGAAGACTGTTATTATCTTCGCTCTGTTGTTCTCTCTCAGAATAGACCTTCAAAATACTATCATCTCCATGAGGTATGTGTGCCTTACGCTCAAAATCGGACGAAAATACTTTCAGGGTAGAGATTTAACATTCGGAAAGCTTCGTCAAACGAAACGACCCAATTTGGTCAAGGCATGTTCTTCGGTGACCTTCCATCGGAACCGAAGCTTTGCTGATCGTAAACTATTTCGCCTCATTCGCATTCCGAGGCTCCAGTCGAAATCAGATTTGTCAAGTTAAGCCACTCGTTTATTCATATCCACCTAGACTGTTAAACAGAGAGTGGTTAGCAGGGAGTATGTATATACGACCAAGCAAATGGCTGGACCAATCATAAAGAAAATGTTGAGTTCTGGTAAAGATTTCCCATTACTTTGGTGTCAGTTTTGAAGAAAAAAAATCATAGTAGAACCACGGACCTACTAAGAAGATAGAACTGTCTCCTTCAACTGAAATTCTCTTACAATGCTCTTTCATTCGAAATATCGAAATCTGACGAGATATAGTGGGACAATTTGGCTTTACACGTGTTTTTGTTTCATTTCTGTGTGTCCGGCACAATATTTCACTAATAGTGATTTCAGTGCTGCATCGGCAAAAGTCTTCACAAACTTTACTCGCAATTTGTACACAGTATACTTTGTACATTTTCTAGATTTGAATTCAAATTCAAGTAGGCCTAAATGTAACGTAAGAACCTAATCTATTAATACAATGACAAAACTCGTAAAGATGAGCGCAAGTAACAGCATCGAATAATCACGTGCTTAGCATACTATACCGGGCTGGGGAGCTAGAGACTGGGGACTGTGGACGATCTTTCCCCGTTCTTGTTAATCGATAACGTGTGTAGCTGGTTCCGTTCTTCCAAGAAGTTATCGTTCGTGTGTTGATTTGGGGCCTGTTTTCCAACTACACCATATGATGATATCAAAGCCCACGACATCTGTGCATCTAGACAATTTAAAATATTCGATCTTGAAGGTGCCATTATGATTGCTCCTATATCTACATGCAATTACAAATTAACCTTTGGTTAATTCGTTTATCGTAGGCCTTCTTCGAAAGATTCAGGTTTAACGCGTAATTACTCTGCCTTCCAAAGAATCGCGAAATTTCTTTATGACGTCACGACACAACTTCACGGCTTTCTATACAACTGCGTCCTAGTATCATCGTAAAATGATGTACCGACCCAAGACATCTAGAGGTATAGGCCTGTATGATTACGTTGAAGTTACAATTAACCCTAAGTCACCTTCGGTG